GTCCAGAAATATGTTGCATGATGTCACCTCTTCATTTCAGCAAACGTCTCCAAATCCAGGAACCTGCAGCCCCTATCTTCAAATCCCAGAAAGACTCCTGCTTAATGCTAGGGGTGTTCAAACGGATTGGTTACCGTGGTAACCATATTAACCGATAGCATTCGGATAATTTGGTTTGGTTAATTTGGATAATTGGTTTGGTTTGGTTAAACAATTTAGCTTATTTGGTTTAGGTGGTTTGGTTTGGTTTCAACACTGCTAACCAATGAAACCAATTAATGATACACCTAATATAAAAAATTATTTATACTTCCATGCAACCAACCAAATCAAACTTTCGTGATTTCCTATTTTATTTCCACGTACACAACAAACCAAAACATTATTGGTAAAAAATTCAACGGGTCTGCCTATATTTACTAAACCAAAACATTTTGGACAACTACTAGACTTTAGTATTACGTACAATACCATGAAAGCCACCTCAAACTATGTATAGTTTAAGTGTTTTTTAGAATAGTTCTAACTTCATGATGAGGGGTATTGGTATGTATTTATGTTAAGAGGTTTGTTGTAAGCTACCTGTAACACCCTACCCTGTACGTTTTACCTAATCATATTGTTCATACATTTGCGGCGGAAATAATCTCGGGTCATTAATTATCAAAATTTACCCAAATAAAATTTCGACATGAATTACTCGCGTAATGGGCTAACAGTTCTTTCATCTAATCCTGCAAAAGAATTCATCTGAGTCCATGCATCCATAGACAAACATATATACTCACAACCATATGCATTGACTTTTCATAGCCATATTCACAGTTTCTTATTACACAACTGCATATCATACTGATACATGCCATAATCGTCACAACTTACATAATTACACAAATATACACATATTATCAACTTTCCATACCTGTGGATATCTCACACTACATTAGAAGCTAGTATGCACATGAAAATGTTCTCAAACATTTTTGTACAAAAGGGTGTGGATCATTGCCCAAAATCCCGAGTAGTAGTCCAAGCACATAATAGTTGAAGACCATACCTCATCCTGCCTTCAAGTCTTGCTCAGCTCCCACCTATACGCCTATATACTGCTACTGATGATGATGATTTGCTTACACATGGCATAAGCAGAGAAAAAGGATAAAGAGGGTCAGCTCATAGCTGAGTGAGACAATCATTGCATCGTGAGTTCATAACAAAGCATACCCCTACCATACATCTAGCAATCAAGCCAAAACACTAGGATCGGACCTCAGCCATCCTCATATCCCAATGGGCAAAAGACGCAACCGCCTTGACTTATGCATATGCATCTTATCATGTTTTAATCATAGGCGCTTGGCTACTTCCATGCTAATAACTCTCCCGGGAAACATACCCCACATCCCGTTGGATGTAGTCATACATACCCCAACATCCCGTCGGATGTGGTCATACATACCCCGCACCACTATGGGTGTAGTCATACCCCGACACCGCTCTGGGTGTGGTCATATCTCGTAAGAAATCTTCAGTCACCACCACATGAGAGGTGTGACTATCATACATATCATAATAGAGTAATAGCATAGGGAGCCCTAATTACTATGTAGTTGACCGTGAGACCACAACACTCATATTTGGTATCCTTATACATGATTCATATCTCATCTTACTTAATCATAATTCGTTACTTGCACATGTACTTAACCTTACCATAATTGGCTCAACATAGGTAAACCAGGAGTCGTATAATTGCACTTCCTCGGGATAAACCCTCGTGCAAGTCATCCTCCTTAAAACATCATAATGTCACCCTGGGAAGTTTATTTCCCCACTTGTGAATCCAAATACAACAAGCATGAAAAATCATACTCAATCACCTTATCAAACCATCATAAGACGTATCAACAGTCAAGCCCACAATTTGCAACATATACGATATCATCAGCATAAACAAGGTCCATATCGATTAGGGCAAGTCAATAATATCATACAGTAGTCCAGGGTTCATCATACAGCACAAAAGTTCATACACCCCTAATCATGTCATTCTAGTTCACCTAGGCCAATTCTAAGCATCAAAATATAATTATCATGATACGACAAACCCAGTATGTCGTGCTAATCCCTCACCAGTTCTGGTCGTTCAAACACCAGTTTTAGCCTCCCGTACTAAAATGTCAATTTCACGAACGAACCCAGAATTAAAATCCGAGACCGTCTTAATATCCCTTGCAGTGTCCCCGTCAATGTTAGTTCTAGGCTCCGGATCAAATTCTCGATAAAAATACATCAAACCCTGACCGGAGCTAAATTCAGCGATTTTGGCTCCGACCTAAATAATAGTCGAAATTCATGGATTAGAACCAGAGGATTAATTACCTCGCCGCAGGAAGCTCGTATATGAAATCTGGGCTCAATCCGGCTTCCGAATACTCCAAAATCCTAATTTGGCTTATCGGGAATTCAAGAAATTCCTGAACCAAAAACTCGCTTTAAAGCTCTAAATCGATAAACTACGATGTATAGATGAATTAGATATTACTTACGAGATTTTTTTGGAGTACCGGAAATCATTCGAGCTTTGGAATTTTTCTCCCCCGCGTCCCCTGAACTACTCCGCGCTCTGCTCGCTCTCGCTAATGGAAATGAAAAGAAGATGATGGGAACTAGCATTGTGCCCGCCCAATGGTCGGGTAATTTTTAATACTAATAATAATTATTAACAGCATAACTAAATAATTTTCAGTTTCTTAATATTTTATGTTGATGTCATTTATCTATAATCCTAAAATTTGTGTTCTATTCTATAACATGAGACCCATAATAGTTTCAACTAACTTTTACACAATTTTAATGTGATCTTCCACTTAAGATGTTATGTCCTCAATCAATAAATTTTGATAGAAGAACCTTATAGATTGTTTTATGAGGGTAATTCATTATTAATACCAATGAATTCTTATTCTTGTAATACTTGAGTTTATACTTATTTGTTATCTCCTATATTGATTTATGTCAAACAACCTTTGAACTTAATTATTTTTTGGTTAATACTCGTTCCTTTGTCAACTAATATCAATATACTCACAAAATTGATTCACCCTTAAGAAGGAATAAATATCTAATTGTGTTTTCATTTGAAATTAAATATGAGATCATAATCATACAATATATCTATTAAAAAACGAAAGATATTCAAGTTAGACCTTCATCACATCCATAATATAATGTTAGTTGTTTTTATACCATGGATGTTTTAAAAACAACTAATTTTTTTATGGCCAATCATTTCTTTCCAAACTTTGTTTATAATATAATGTTATATTCTAAACTTAAGATTACAATTGTTCGAGAAATATATGTTTACTAGTAATCAGCCCGCGCTCCGCGGCAGGATAAGTTTGACTGTTGTAATTTTGTGGATCCTGAAATATTTTTTTCGGTATATAATATGAAAGTAGTTGAGATAGTTACTTGACTGAGCAATGTAATTAGAACATTGTTGGATAGAGGCTGCTGCGTGGTCTGCCAACCTACACCAAGCATAATTTTTGCTAAACCAAGAACAATAGCATGGAAGATTCATTACAGCAGAGCACACAACAATGTATTGGGGATTTAGTTTGTCAAAGCAAAGAAACACATAATCAAATCATCCAAAAGTCTGCGCAAAACACATAATCAAATTTGGACATTGTTTTGTCTCCATCGAAGCTGGAGAATAAGAACCTAGTTCAGGAAGGAGGATAATAGGGGTAGATATGGTGCATCAGGAAGTCTTTATGTCATTGATTTTGATGATCACTTGTCTATTCTTGAGGTATGCCAAAGTGATGCAACTCTTATGTGAGGTAGGCCTGTTGGGGTTCTGTTTTTCATATATGAGGAACCGATGTATAGCTCACCTGCAAACATTCTGCTACACTTTTTGATCAGCAATGCCTTGGCCGATTCTGCATCAAGTTTGTTGTACTTGTTGGGTGACATGTCGATTATTGAGAGAGTTGCCTCATGGTCCAGTATGACATCAATATCATCAGATCCTTGTTCACATTTGACCTCCAGCTGATAGTGCAAGCTAGTTATGAATATAAGTTAAAATTGTGTTAGCTTATTTGTAGATAGATTAACTAACATAAGATGTAGTGTTCATACTGAAACCGAAAACTTACTCCGGCCATTCCTCAGTTGTTCGGCAGATGTTTTTTCGAAATTTCAGCTGTGATATGTGGATTTTGGCACGGTAAAGTATCTAATATGAATGCCACATTTTGATTAGATATGTCTCTGTGCAAAATGTAAGTGCAAAATATAGGCATTTGTGAAACATCTTGTCCCTAACGAACCTTGTGGCAGCTCTGATCAGATGCAAGCATAGTTTTGATGTCAGCGAGCGTCTTCTTTTCAATTCCTGGTCGAAGGCATCTTGTTTTCTTACTGGTGTTGGCATCCATGTAGTAAACTTGTCTGTGACTATAAAGGAAGCTGGTTGTAACAAAATAATTAAAAAGTGTTATTCTTGTTTTGGCTGATTGGCAATACGCATGATTCGAGAAATGAATAGCATTTGTTCAAAAAGAAGTGTACATGTGCATGATTTCCTTGAGTAAGGCTGTGTAAGATCTTATTATCAACTCGCTGGCAGGAGTGGACTCGAAACGGTACTTATATTTTTGGCTGGATAGAGGTGGCACTCGAATGACAGATTTGATTGTAACAATGAGAGGCAAGTGAGCCTCAGCTGTTGGAGCATTCTCTAAGAACTTCAATATATCATATCCTCGATACTGAATAGTTGCCTTAGCGCCGCTGTTCGTGACACAAATGTGTGAGGTTGTTGATTCATATAGTTCATATATTAACATATTATTCTATAAAATGTACCTCACATCCTGTACGACCATGTGAAATTCTTTGAGAGTACCACGAATTGTTGTTGGAACACTGAGACGTCTAATGCATACAGTGATATTTGTGCCCAACAGAAGAGTTTGTCATTTTAAAGTTTAAATTCATTTTAGTATGGCGAACAGAGATAGTCAAATGTACCTGTATGGTAGTCAATGGTACTTGTATGAAGTGGTATTATCGAAAAAGCCATCCCAATGTCCCAGCCGATAGGTAAACGTGGGTCATCTGGGTCCTCTTCAATCTTGGAAATGTTTTGTTCGGGAGTTATGTGTACCCTTAACTCTCCTAGGACAATCTTTGGATTCTCTCTTGCTGGTACAGCCACAACCGAATCAAAACGATAAAGGTTCCCGACCTTTATCTTGTGAGAAATCTCGGTGATGTCTTTTTCATCAACCATTGACTCGATCAATCGTGCCTATAAGAATAACATTTGATCGAATTCAAATCGTACATTGCAGTGGTCAAAAATCATTTATGGAAAGATTATGCAATCTTGTAACTGAATTGTAAACAAACCTTCTTATCTATCCAAATCATGTGCATGTTGAGATTTTTAAGCTTGGGTGCCTCTCGGAATTCGAGCCATGTAATCACAGGATGAGCAATAACTGTGCGAACATTTGTGCCCAAACGCAACCCCCGAAATGGCATGCAAGTTTCAATCGGATCTATAAGACAATAAAGGGAAACGAAATGGGTATTTTATCTTTCTTGCAGAGGGTTCGAGATTCATGGGAGAATTTTTTAACAGAAATGGAAGGATTCACCTTTGTCATCGGTGGGGACCATGTGAGCGCCCTCTGTTGACTGGTGGTTTTTGGGTAAACTCTTCATGTTAGGTGGGGTCTCTGTGCAAGCAACACAAGTATCGATCAGAAGTAAATTTTCAGGTGTAAAGGCGGTGAAGAAGAGGGAGACGTGGACTTACCTTTGTTTTAAAGGTTGTCTTGTAGTTTCAGTGGTGGGGCTTACGCGGCGGAGAAGGGTAGATGAAGATGTGGACGACGGGTCTGGTTGGTGAAGGTAAATAGGGTTTTAAAGGGGAGTATTTATTTTGGGCGGGTTTCTAATGGGATTTTTTCTGTAGCCCTAAAGAACCATTTGGGTTGGGCTCGAATTCATTTCATTATCATCAAACATATGAAGTTCAAACAATTGATGGCTCAAGTTCGGGCCTGAAAACGTTTGGTTCATAGCAATTCTACCAATGAAGATGGGGTCAAAACATCAGAGCCTTGGTTTTTTTAACCGTTCTTGTCTGATACATGATTGCAACAGATAATGTGCAGGTAAGCAACTAATCTAGTAAGCTAGAAATAAAGTTTCAGTCCATGGGTAATCCTTTACAGTTGAAGTTGGACCTGACATTGTGAGCTTTTTATGAGCTTGGAACATTGCAGTTTGTAAAAGTTAGCGAACTATTCGATCAAAGATTTAGACAGATGCATTTCTTAACCAAAAGTAAACCAACCGCTCAATCCTTGAAAACTAATTCCCCAAAACATAGATGAATGCATTTCTTTACCATTTATTAGCTAGACACGTCGTTAAGATAAGGTATTGACCTCTTTGGATCGACATGTTTGCATCAGGGCATTGCTGCAATCCTACAAAAAAATTAACCTTTTTTAGGCGAATTTGCAGGTATACGTATCAATTAGCCTGATAAATTTAATGGGTTCACCTGATATATAGTTTAGGTGTTCATAATATCAGCAAAGGCTTCGGTGAAGACTATGTTCCTTGTATTGTCGTGAGGGATCTCTGCTGGGTTTTGTATAAGAATCCTCAAACCTCTTGTTGATTTTACTCTTGAAACTCCCACATATAGCTGGCCATGGCTAAAAACGGGTTCAGGCAAATATATCCCAACTTTTTCAAGCGTTTGTCCTTGGCTTTTGTTTATAGTCATTGCATAGCATAAGCGTACTGGGAACTGTCTCCTTCTGAGTATGAAAGGCCACTTGGAGTTCTCCACATTGAGCACTATTCTTGGTATAATGACTTCGTCAGTGTCGTAAGAACCACCCATAATGTTGCCTTTATAAAATTATCTCCTAATGTTGTGATCATGATCCTTGTCCCGTTGCATAAACCAAGACCAGGATTTAGGTTGCGTAGGAGCATAACTGGTGTGAATACCTTTAATGTAAGCTTGTGGTCCGGAACTCCATTGAATGTGAGAGTGTTGAGAAACTCCGTTGGATAGCTTTCATCAAACGAATCTGCTGTTTCTGTTGATAGCAGCAAGGAATCTGAGATGTAATAGGTTTTTGAATTGTCTAGTACCCGCTGCAGCATATAGTCATTGATTGTAGAGACTGTTGCATTCGTTGGAGTTACTATAGCTCTACTGGTTAGGTATGCTGGATCCCTATGATTGTGTGGAAACATATCGTATATATCATCTGCGATTGACTGAACAGAGTCATTTCCGGGATCAATCAGGAACATTTGTGGTATTTGTATCCAATCTGTTGGCCCATCTTCTCTGAACGATCTTGCTTTAAGTTTTCCATCTCCTAAAGCAATAACCCATTATGGAAACCTATATCCATGCATTAGCTGTTGGTCAGCAGGCTGGACCGCTGTGATGCGCATGTTTGTTGATAGGCACATTACTTTAAAAGTATTCCATAGCTTGGACCTAGTCAATGAGCCATCAATTGTTTGTTCACGTCCAGCATCTGTTATAACCGGAAGAGTTTGGCGAAAATCTCCACCAAAAAGAACTGTCTTCTCTCCAAAAGGTTTATAATGATGTCCAGTCAGTGGAACATTCAGTATGTCGCACAAGCTGCGATCTACTGCTTCGAAAGCTTGCCGATGGGTCATTGGTGTCTCGTCCCAAATGATTAAGGATGCTTCTTTTAACATATCAGCCAAATGTGTTCCGTGTTTAATGGGGCATGTCGATGTTGCATCTAGAATGAGCGGAATTTTAAACCTTGAATGTGCAGTGGTTGCTTTGGGAAGAAGTGTTGCTGCTATCCCTGATGATGCAACCAATACAACAATCTTCCCCAAACTCCTAAGTCTTGCTGTAATGACATTATAGAGATACGTTTTGCCTGTACCTCTGTGACCATATATGAAAAATGCACGACCCATCTTGTTGTGGACTGAATTGATGACAGCCGAATATACATTAGTTTGCTCAAGATTTAGAGAATGTAGCATAGAGGTGGCCAGTGCATGTTGCTGGTCTGTATCGAAGGCAAGATGCTCGTTAATGAGTGGGTTCTCTCCATTATCATATGAACTATCAGACGGTATTGGAAGATTGAAGTCCTCAAGAATCATTGAGTGGGAGCTCAACATAGCCTGCAATTCATGTAGGACCCAGTTTTGTAGTCGTTCATCAGTGGGCTTCTGAGACTGATCTCTGAGATCTTTGGTTAACCTGTACGCATAATCTTCAGCCATAGATTTCCATGATCAATTGAACAAAGCCACTGGGCTTGGTATTTCGCAGAACATAAGGATTGACATGAAAGTGCACCGTATCACCCGTGGCATGCTAGAAGTCGAGATGTCGGATAGGACACGTATCCATTCTGAAGAATCTGATAACAGCCCCAATTGTTCACAAGTTTTTTCAAAATCTGCACAAAGTTCTCCATTGACAGTTCTGAGATGAGCATAACTGAGAGCGCCGCGGACTTTTGTGAGTACCATTCAGAGGAAAATTACATCGTCAGAACCTGGTGGAACATATGCAATCCTCCCTACTGCAAATCCTTTTGATAGGGCCAAAAGCGTATATGCCTTAATCCTATCTTGTACTAAACCGGAAAGTCCGGGTATCGTCTCTCAGGGACTGGTACAACCTTATATTCTATCAAATTTATGAGCAAACTATAAGTGAAAATAGTTTAATGAGACTAATTTCTAAAAGCAAAATAAAATAAACAAATTAACTAAATGAAAACTGTCGGGAGAAATTCGATGGGAGAAAGCTCTGGGAGAAACACCGGGATTCACTACCTATCCTATCCAAATTAATTCACATATTCCAATCAGTTTAATCCAATTCTCTACAGCCAGGATATCACTAATGTGCTAGCTATCCCTGTCGGGAATTACTACGTACTAAAAAATTAAATCAAATCCTACTGTCGTAGCTCAATGAGTTAATTATTTAGCCTGAAGAACGATATCCCAATCAAGACCGCATAGCATCTTATTTAATCCACTGTCGCTTCAATAAGTTACTATGTCACATGAAATAGGTTCAGTTATTAGGGTTTCACTGTCGCTAATAACCTAATTAACTACAAATCGTTGTATTGGTGGCCAGTCAACACAAAGCATTAAGCAATTTCATAATAGAGATTGGAAGAAAAGAAATATGAATCAATCCATCAAACATAGAAATAGCTACATCCTATGGTGTTTCCCCCAGAAATCGGGGTTTAGTTCATGATGAAATTAAGATAAAACATTAGGGTTTTGATCATCATGTTCTAAATCAACAATACACAACTAGTTCGGTTCAGAAAATCCAACCAACTAATCGCTCTCGTTGAAATCCGCTCAAGCCTTGAAGAAGTCGATTGTCAATTGCCAATCGCCGCTCCAATCTCTGCGCGCGACCTGCTTTCTATTCTTTAATTCCCTTCGCAATTATGTTCCGCTGCGCCTGCTTTTCTATCCCTCGCCCAAAGAATTCCTGTGTCCCTCTTTTGGCCGCTTCTCTTTTCCCCAAAGTGATTTTCCACCCCCCTCTCCGTAGTCCCAATCCAATTTCATTTTTCTAATAATTCCCCCCTTTGGGCCAATTCCGTCCATTCCCAGAGAAGTTCCAAATAAGCTGCTGCTTTTCTTTTGCCTTCTGCCTCTCGGTCCAAAATTAATCTCGGCCCAATTGCGTCTCCTTCCCGAGACAAAGCAATTTGGGCCCAATTAATAGCTTGTGCACTCGCTTCTTTTTCGTGCTTTCTCCACCTATAACATACCAAACTCATGGCACTAGGCAGTAATGGTTTTTCAACCATTCCCGGGTTAGCGAGTCCTAAAATAGCACTAATTGGCTTAAATATATCATGGGATAGTCACATAAAGTTCAAGAATCTGATATATTAAAGCTAATTATCACAACCCCACACTCAATTGTTGCTTGTCCCTAAGCAACGACTCAAACAACACAAACACATAACCATCCAAAACAATGACACACCACAGACTCACTAATCAAACACTCAAAACAAAACAAAATTTTCCTTGTACTCTTGTTGTAATCAGTAGTTTCTTTCTCAAAGGACAAGTTGTGCTTTAATGATCATACTTTTCACCCCACACTCAAGTTCCTTGCAACCATTACCATTGACTGACTCAAATCCATCAAAAACTCAAATAACAACACTCAATTCCGATTGTCGGTAGTGGGTGATTAACAACTTATGATGTAACAGTTATTAGGAGAATCTAACCACATCAGTAAGGTGCGTATCTCGTGAGGACAATCTGGCTTACTCACACCAATCATAAGCAATTAACTAAGCACGAGTCTCAAAAGCTAATGGGGGAAGCCTTTCGCAAACATGAGTTTAACTTTAAGCACATCACTACCTTTTATGACAAGGAGAGGCTTTCTCTCTTTCTGCTTTTGCTTCCCGAGAGGTCGTATTTAGTACAAGTGGGATTTGTTTCTTACTACCGGTGACCGTGCAAGAGCAATTTCTGCTTCTTAGCACTCTCATAAGGGCTTCTTTTAACTCCTTTTCCTCAGTCCGTGTGGAGGGTCATTGCATCCTCTAATGGCACTTCACTCTACTGGGGATCGTACTTGATAAGCAACATCGTACGGTCGCGAACCGATTCTCAAATGAATCTTTCCTCATCCCCATGTGCAATGAGTGATTGCCTCACACGATTTTGGCATTTTTACCCACACTTTAATTGTTATGGCAACTTTCTTATATTTTACTTGTCAGGCAGTGTTTTCTCATTTTATGAAGATACAGTTCACCCCATCATAAAACCATCAAAACAGAAAGACTCATTGCAAAATCAAAAGCTCACAATTGATGCAAGTAAGCACGGTATCCAAACATGTCGAATGGTCAATGTTCTCCACCTAACTACTTCACCAAAAGTCATTACACTATCCTCACAAAAGAGAATGTTGCTAAAAGAGTTTGCTCATTCAAAGCATATCAAGTCAGTCAAAACATTTAAGCTCATTGTGAAGAACTTTGCAATTCAACACTAGTGGGGTGATTTTCGATGATTTCGTTCAAGCACAAACTCATTTCACACGCAACACAGTCATTTACATCATGTTACCACAAGAGTACAAGGTTTTGTTTTTAATTTTTCTGATTTTTAGGTGTTTTTTAGCCATTAGCTTTGCACAGGCAGACTGCTTTTTACACAGGCAAACTGCATGCAGTTTGGCTGTGCTCAACCTAATGACAAACTTTTTTTTTACTTTTTTTTTACCACATGCAACAGGGACAAACAACACTAGGACTCACCAATGGCAAATATTTTTTTTTTTACTTTTTTTTTACCACATGCAACAGGGACAAACAACACTAAGACTCACCACCCCACACTCAGGATGGAACATTGTCCCTAATGTTCAACTCCTAATCTAAACATGCACGGGTTTGACAAAACAAAAAAGAAAAATAAAGAAAAGAAAACTTACCTTGGGTTGCCTCCTAAGAAGCGCTTGTTTAACGTCCTCAGCCTGACGTTCATGGAGCTTTCAACCAATGGGTATGGAAAGGTATCCAGAATACCCTCCCGAGCAATGATAGAATGCATAACCTCCATCCAGCATATGAGTCACCTCTGCAGGGCCAGGTGTGCGAAAATTGGGTATGACCTTCTTAGCTGGCATGTTAGACCCTTTAGTGAGGCGTAGGTGGTACTGCAGCGCCTCAAGCAGGTACTCTTCCTGTTTCAATGTCAGTGAAGAAGGAATAATAACAGGAAGATTGAAATCCTTACCCAAATATGGGTTAATACCTTATTTTGGCCCGAACTATAACCATATAATCAACTTTGGCCCGTGGTTTCAGAAATTAACATCATGGCCTCAACTATACAGCATATAGACTCAATTGGCCCGACACATAGTTTGACCGTCAATTTGGACGGTCAACTCCGTTGACCGTTAGTCAACATGCCATGTCATTGCCTAGTCAGCATAAAAATCATTAAAAAATTCAAATTCAAATTATTTTCCTAATTTCTATTATTTATCATTTTCCAATTAACCAAAAAATAAAATTCTAAAAATATAAAACAATTTTTTTGGGATATTTGAAAATAATAAATTTTATAAATTAACCAAAATTATCAAATTAAATTTTATAATTTAAAAATTATGATATAAATTATATTTTTTTGGGAAGTTTTAAAATAAAAAATAATTTGATAAATTTTGTTTAATTTAAAAAATTATCATTTTCAAATTATCCAAAAATAAAAAAAATTATTTTATGTTTTTATAATTTATTTTTGGTTAATTTGATAATAAATAATTTTTAGGTTGACTAGACAATGACATGGCGTGTTGACTAACGGTCAACGGAGTTGACCATCCAAATTGACGGTCAAACTATGTGTCGGGCCAATTGAGTCTATATGCTGCATAGTTGAGGCCATGATGTTAATTTCTGAAACCACGGGCCAAAGTTGATTATATGGTCATAGTTCGGGCCAAAATAAGGTATTAACCCCCAAATATCTATGCTTGAGGTGCCCTGGCAAGGATTTCTGCCCTTGCTTTGATTTCAGACTTTGAGCTGCTAGGACATGTGATAGTTCTCTGGGTGGTCCACTATTACAGGAAGAGGAATTTTTGCTTTCTCGAGCTCCACTTTTAAATTCATCATGATTATGGTCAACTTGAAAGACATTAAAAATTTCCTCCTCCTTACCTACTCGGAATGTCAACTTGCCTCTCCCAACATCGATGAGTGCATCACCGGTTGCTAGAAAAGGTCTGCCGAGAATTAGAGGCACTACCCGATCATCTTCCATCTCCAGAATTACAAAAGGAAAGTGTCACCACCTGTCATCCCTACACCAGGCGAGTCTTAGTGTTTGTTTGTTCCTTTTGTCATGTGGTCAGTAAAAAAAAAAGTAAAAAAAAGGTAAAAAAAAAATTGCCATTGGTGAGTCTTAGTGTTGTTTGTCCCTGTTGCATGTGGTAAAAAAAACAAAAAAAAAACAAAAAAAATTCTGTCATTTGGCTATGCACAGCCAAACTGCATGCAGTTTGCCTGTGTAAAAAGCAGGCTACCTGTGCAAAGCTAATGGCTAAAAAACACCTAAAATTCAGAAAAATTAAAAACAAAACCTTGTACTCTTGTGGTAACATGATGTAAATGACCGTGATGCCTTGAAAATGAGTTTGTGCTTGAATAAAATCATCAAAATCACCCCACTATTGTTGAATTGCATAGTTCTTCACAATGAGATTGATGTTTTGACTGACTTGATGTGCTTTGAGTGAGCAACTCTTTTAGCAACATTCTCTTTTGTGAGGATAGTGTAATGACTTTTGGTGAAGTAGTTAGGTGGAGAACATTGACCATTCGATATGTTTGGATACCGTGCTTACTTGCATCAATTGTGAGCTTTTGATTTTGCAACGAGTCTCTCTGTTTTGAAGGTTTTAGATGGGGTGAACTGTATCTTCATAAAATGAGAAAACACTACCTGACAAGTAAAATATAAGAAAGTTGCCATAACAATTAAAGTGTGGGTAAAAATGCCAAAATCGTGTGAGGCAATCACTCATTGCACATGGGGATTAGGAAAGATTCAATTGAGAATCGGTTCGCGACCGTACGATGTTGCTTATCAAGTACGATCCCCAGTAGAGTGAAGTGCCATTTGAGGATGTGCAGTGACCCTCCACACGGACCGAGGATAAGGAGTTAAAAGAAGCCCTTATGCGAGTGCTAAGAAGCAGAAATTGCTCTTGCTCGGTCACCGGTAGTAAGAAACAAATCCCACTTGTACTAAATACGACTTCTCGGCAAGCAAAAGCAGAAAGAGAGAAAGCCTCTCCTTGTCATAAAAGGTAGTGATGTGCTTAAAATTAAAATCTTGTTTGCGAAAGGCTTCCCCCATTAGTTTTTGAGACTCATGCATAATTAATTGCTTATGATTGGTGTGAGTAAGCCAGATTGTCCTCACGAGATATGCACCTCACTGATGTGGTTAGACTCTCCTAATAATTGTTGCACCATAAGTTGTTAACCACCCACTACTGACGATCGAATTTGAGTGTTGCTATTTGAGTTTTTGATGGATTTGAGTCAGTCAATGGTAATGGTTGCAAAGAACTTGAGTGTGGGGTGAAAGGTATGATCATTAAAGCATAACTTGTCCGTTGAGAAAGAAACTACTGATTACAACAAGAGTACAAGGAAATTTTGTGTTTTGCTTTGAGTGTTTGATTAGTGAGTTTGTGGTGTGTCATTGTTTTGGATGATTATGTGTTTGTGTTGTTTGAGTCGTTGCTTAGGGACAAACAACAATTGAGTGTGGGGTTTGATAATCGGCTTTAATATATCGGATTGTTGAACTTTATGTGACTATCCTATGATATGTTTAAGCCGATTGGTGTATTTTAGGGCTCCCTAACCCGAGAATGGTTGAAAAACCATTTTTGCCTGGTGCCATGAGTTTGATATGTTACAGATGGAGAAAACACGAAAAAGAAGCGAGTGCACAACAAGTAATTGGGCCAAAGCCCAAATGGATGAGACTTTGAATTAATGCTGGCGGAATTGGACTTGTTAATGGGACACGGGAGAAGAATTGGGCTGGACAGAGGGAATTATTGGAAGGGAAAGGCCATTCTTGGAATTGAGGGGGACACAAGCAATTTGATTTGGACGGAATTCTTTGGAAAGTAAAAAATTGCTGGGGCGGGATGAAATAAGGGGAAATTGAAGAGAGAAGCTGACACACAGAATTATAATCAAAAGGAGAGGGCGGCACTTAAGGGGTTTTTGGGCGAGAACATCTGGGGGAGAAAGGAATTAATTAGAGGGAATTCTCCTGGGGAGGCGGAAAGAAGCAGTAGCGCGGACTGGGGGGATTTTCTGGGCGAAGGAAATAATTGGAGAAGAGCGCAGCGGGGGCGCCTATTATTCTTTCGAGTAGCGGGATCGCGAGACAGCAAGCAGGGGAATTAGCGAGTGGACACTGATCGCAATTATTCTAGTAGTGTTTCTCCTTTTCCCTTGATTAGTTTCATGATCAATAATAACATGATTATACCTTTTGATTTCGTCATGAACTAAACCCCAATTTCTGGGGGAAACACCATAGGATGTAGCTATCTCTTGATTTGATAGATTGATTTATGATTCTTTTCTTCCAATCTCTATTGCATGAAATTTCTTAATGCTTTGTGTTGACTGGCCACCAATACAATGAATCGTAGTTAATTAGGTTATTAGCGACAGTGAAACCCTAATAACTGAACATATTTCATGTGACATAGTAACTTATCGAAGCGACAGTGGATTAAATAAGGTGCTATGCGGTCTTAAATAGGATATCGATCTTCAGACTATATAGTTAATTCATTGAGCTACGACAGTAGGATTTGAATTGATTATTTAGTACGTAGTAATTCCCGACAGGGATAGCTAGCACATTCGTGATATCCTGGCTGTAGAGGTATGGATTAAATTGATTAGAATATGTGAATTAATCTGGATATGATAGGTAGTGATATCCCGGTGTTTCTCCCAGAGCTTTCTCCCATTGAATTTCCCTCGACCATTTAACTTTGCTTAATTAGTTTAATTATTTTGTTAGTAGTCATTAATCTCATTAAACCATTTCCACCTATAGTTTGCTCTATTAAATCGGTAAATCTTAAGGTTGTACCAGTCCCTGAGAGACGATACCCGGACTTTCCGGTTTACTACAAGATAGGATTAAGGCATACGCTTTTGACCCATCAAGTTTTTGAGGATGGTATGTGTTCTTGTCGTGTTTTATGTCGAGTCTTAGTTGTCCACAGTGTCTCGTCTTGTGTAAAAAAAAATTGCTATTAGGTTGAACACAGCCAAACTGCATGCAGTTTGCCTGTGTAAAAAGCAGGCTGCCTGTGTTAATCTAATGGCTAAAAAACACCTAAAAATCAGAAAAATTAAAAACAAAAACCTTGTACTCTTGTGGTAACATGATGTAAATGACCGTGATGCCTTGAAAATGAGTTTGTGCTTGAATGAAATCATCAAAATCACCCCACTGGTGTTGAATTGCATAGTTCTTCACAATGAGCTTGAATGTTTTGACTGACTTGATATGCTTTGAATGAACAAACTTTTTTAGCAACATTCTCTTTTGTGAGGATAGTGTAATGACTTTTGGTAAAGTGGTTAGGTGGAGAACATTGACCATTCGACATGTTTGGATACCGTGCTTACTTGCATCAATTGTGAGCTTTTGATTTTGCAACGAGTCTCTCTGCTTTGATGGTTTTATGATGGGGTGAACTGTATCTTCATAAAAGAAAACACTACCTTACAAGTAAAATATAAGAAAGTTGCCATAACAATTAAAGTGTGGGTAAAAATGCCAAAATCGTGTGAGGCAATCACTCATTGCACATGGGGATGAGGAAAGATTCAATTAAGAATTGGTTCGCGACCGTACGATGTTGCTTATCAAGTACGATCCCCAGTTGAGTGAAGTGCCATTTGAGGATGCAATGACCCTCCACACGGACCAAGGATAAGGAGTTAAAAGAAGCCCTTATGCGAGTGCTAAGAAGCAGAAATTGCTCTTGCTCGGTCACTGGTAGTAAGAAACAAATCCCACTTGTACTAAATACGAATTCTCGGCAAGCAAAAGCAGAAAGAGAAAAAGCCTCTCCTTGTCATAAAAGGTAGTGATGTGCTTAAAGTTAAAATCTGGTTTGCGAAAGGCTTCCCCAATTAGTTTTTGAGACTCATGCTTAAGTAATTGTTTATGATTGGTGTGAGTAAGCTCGATTGTCCTCACGAGATATGCACCTCACTGATGTGGTTAGATTCTCCTAATAACTGTTGATCCATAAGTTGTTAACCACCCACTACCGACAATCGAAATTGAGTGTTGCTATTTGAGTTTTTTGATGGATTTGAGTCAGTCAATGGTAATGGTTGCAAAGAACTTGAGTGTGGGGTGAAAGGTATGATCATCAAAGCACAACTTATTCTTGAGAAAGAAACTACTGATTACAACAAGAGTACAAGGAAAATTTTGTTTTGTTTGAGTGTTTGATTAGTGAGTCTGTGGTGTGTCATTGTTATGGTTGGTTATGTGTTTGTGTCATTTGAGTCGTTGCTTAGGGACAAGCAACAATTGAGTGTGGGGTTGTGATATTCGGCTTTAATATATCGGATTCTTGGACTTTATGTGATTATCCGTGGTATGTTTTAGCCAATTGGTGCTATTTTAGGGCTCGCTAACCCGAGAATGGTTGAAAAACCATTACTGTCGAGTGCCATGAGTTTGATGTATTACAGGTGGAGAAAGCACGAAAAAGGAGCGAGTGCACAAGCAATAAATCGGGCTCGAATTACTGGAGGACTACGCACTTGAATTAATTGGCCCATCTTCTTTGTCCTCTTCTGGAGAGAGCACTAGCCACCAGGAGCATTCTTCATATTATATGGACCAAGTCCATTGTCTTGTAGTGAAGAGGGGGACACGGAATTAAGCTTTGGACCAAGTTGTTTTGTCATTTTGGGAGGAGGAGAAAGTGAGTGGAACGCAGTGTTTTGGGAGGCATATATATTTGAGCGGACTTAATTGAATGAGGGGAGTCTCACTTTTAATTGAGTGCGGGGCGGAATTTTTTGGAGAATAGAAAGAACAGCAGCGAGCGGCGCAGCGGAGCTTGGGACGAACAACTCTCATCAATTGGCAATCAGTCTCACAAGACGGTTTGAGCTGAATTCAATGAGAGCGAGTAGTTGGTTGGATTTTCTAAACCGAACTAGTTGTGTATTGTTGATTTAGAACATGATGAACAAAACTCTAATGTTTTATCTTAATGTCGTCATGAACTAAACCCCGTTTTCTGGGGGAAACACCATAGGATGTGGCTACTTCTTGATTTGATGGATTGATTTATGATTCTTTTCTTCCAATCTCTATTGCATGAAATTTCTTAATGCTTTGTGTTGACTGGCCACCAATACAATGATTTGTAGTTAATTAGGTTATTAGCGACAGTGAAACCCTATTAACTGAACCTGTTTCATGTGACATAGTAACTTATCGAAGCGACAGTGGATTAAATAAGGTACTATGCGGTCTTAAATGGGATATCGATCTTCAGGCTAAATAATTAGGTCATTGAGCTACGACAGTAGGATTTGATTTAATTGTTTAGTACGTAGTAATGCCCGACAGGGATAGCTAGCACATTCGTGATATCCTGGCTGTAGAGGTATGGATAAATTGATTGGAATATGTGAATTAATCTGGATAAGATAGGTAGTGAATCCCGGTGTTTCTCCCAGAGCTTTCTCCATTGAATTTCTCCCAACAGTTTTCATTTAGTTAATTTGTTTATTTTATTTTTCTTTTAGAAATTAGTCTCATTAAACTATTTTCACTTATAGTTTGCTCATAAATTTGATAGAATATAAGGTTGTACCAGTCCCTGAGAGACGATACCCGGACTTTCCGGTTTTACTACGAGATAGGAAATTGGCATATACGCTTTTGCCCTATCAGGGACTGGTACAACCTTAAGTTTTACCGATTTGATAGAGCAAACTATAGGTGAAAATGGTTTAACGAGATTATTAACTACTAGCAAAATTAACTAATTAAGCAAATTAAAGTGTCAGGTTTAAATCAATGGGAGAAAGCTCTGGGAGAAACACCGAGATTCACTACCTATCCGATCCAGATTAATTCACACATTCCAATCAATTTAATCCATACCTCTACAGCCAGGATATCACGAATGTGCTAGCTATCCCTGTCAGGAATTACTACGTACTAAATAATCAATTCAAATCCTACTGTCGTAGCTCAATGAATTAACTATATAGTCTGAAGATCGATATCCTATTTAAGACCGCATAGCACCTTATTTAATCCACTGTCGCTTCGATAAGTTACTATGTCACAAGAAATATGTTCAGTTAATAGGGTTTCATTGTCGCTAATAACCTAATTAACTACAAATCGATGTATTGGTGGCCAGTCAACACAAAGCATTAAGCAATTTCATGCAATAGAAATTGAAAGAAAAGAATCATGAATCAATCCATCAAATCAAGAAATAGCTACATCATATGGTGTTTCCCCCAGAAATTGGGGTTTAGTTCATAACGAAATTAAGATAAATCGATAGGGTTTTGTTCATCATGTTCTAAATCAACAAGAAACAACTAATTCGGTTTAGAAAATCCAACCAACTAATCGCTCTCGTTGAATTCAGCTCAAGCCGCTTGGAGAAATCGATCGAAATTCTCAATCGCACTGCTGCTCCGTGCGCTGCGCCCTTCGCTTTCCTTCCAAAGAATTCGCGTCCCTCTGCTCTCTATTCAAGAAAATCGCCGCCAATCCAATTTGCCTCTCCCAACATCGATGAGTGCATCTCCAGTGGCTAGAAAGGGTCTACCAAGTATAAGAGGCACTCCCCGATCTTCTTCCATCTCCAGAATCACAAAATCTGTTGGGAGAATAAACTTCCCAACCTTCACCAATACATTCTCCACCACTCCCTTTGGAATTTTCACTGATCGATCGACCAATTGGAGAGTGATCCGAGTAGGCTTAAGAACATCTCCCAATCCCAATTTCTTGTAGACTGAGTATGGCATCAAATTAATTCCTGCTCCAAGATCACAAAGTGATTTATCGAACTTTGTACCTCCAATGACACATGGAATGGTAAAGCTGCCCGGATCATCCCTCTTTTCTGGTAATTTATTCTGAATCACAACACTACATTCAGAAGTAAGGGTTACCTTCTCTAGATCAGCCCATTTCCGCTTCTTTGTCAGCAACTCCCTTAAGAATTTAGCATATGTAGGCATCTGTTCAAGTGCCTCCGCCAAGGGTATGTTAATCTGAAGTTGCTTGAAGATATTCACAAATTTCTTGAAGTTTGGGTCTTCCATGGGCTTCATTAACCTTTGAGGGAATGGTGCGGGAGGTTCGTAAGGCTTTACCTCTTCATTCTTCAATTTTTCCACTTTTTGAGGTACACGGGCATCATGCTTTTGCACAGGCAAACTACTTTCATTTTGCCTGTGCAAGGCTGATTCTTCATTTTCTGCACAAGATCTTTCTCCCGGTGCTTCCTCTTCTGCCTCTGGTGCCTTTTCCGAGCTGCTAGGGTCTTCCAAGGCCTTTCCACTCCTCAATGTCACTGCTACAACCATGGCATCCTTCGGATTCCTCTCAGTATTTGCTGGTAATGTCCCAGGAATTCTGCCTTGCATATCTGCCAAAGTTTGAGCCATCTGTCCCATCTGCCTCTCCATAGCTAGCATAGACGATTGTAAATTATTGTTGATGGCTAGCTGTTGAGTGACAAATTGATCCAGGCCCTTGAAATTATAGTCTGTTTTCTGCATATGAGCCAAAATCAACTCCTCCAGCTGGGGCTTCTTCTCTGGTTGAGGCTGCTGCTGTTGAAAACCAGGAGGTGGGATGTTTCGAACACCAGTTGGGTTGTTGTTCGCCCAGGAAAAGTTAGGATGCTTTCTCCATTGCGGGTTGTAGGTATTTGAATACATACCACCCTGGCCTTGATTTCGCTGATTGTTGATATAATGCACATCTTCCAACTGATCAGCCACCAGTGGACATAGATCCCTATGATGAGCACCTTCACATAATTCACAAAAAGAAACCTCCTCCTGTCTACCAAGAGCCATCTTAGCCAGCCTTCGTTCAAGTGCATCGAACTTGGAATCCAGCTTAGCATCAATCTTTGCTTCTAAACTTGCAACTCTGTCTATCTCATGCAAGCCTCCTCTCCTTGGAATGCCGGTCTCACTACCCCATTCAGTATCTTCAGAGCATATCTTCTCTACCAGTTCATATGCTTCTGGTGCTTCCATTCTTGTGAAACCATTTCGCGAAGCATTATTCAGAGCATCTCGGTATTGTCTTCTGATTCCGTTGAAGAAAATGGAGATCACGTTCCAATCTTCCAGACCGTGGCTCGGGCATCTAATTAGAAGCTCCTTATAGCGCTCCCATGCCTCGGTCAGACTTTCGTCTTCAGCTTGTTTAAAAGTGACAATTTCCTCTTGCCTCTTCATAGCCTTGGCAGGAGGAAAGTACTTATCCAAAAAGGTCTTCTCAAGCTGACCCCATGTTGTGATGGAACGGGGTGTTAGGTTTTGGAACCAGTGTGATGCATTCCCTAGCAGGGAAAATGATAACATCCGAAGACGGATGGCATCATCAGACACAGTCGGGCTCTTCATCGTATCACAAATGCTTGCAAACCGGCGGAGATGTTCATGAGGATCCTCGGTGCTAGCCCCTAAGAAGGTGTACCCATTCGTGATCATATTGATGAAGGCTGGGGCAATCTCCATGTTTGCATCCCCAGCCGGAATGACAACACATGAAGCTCGGGCTCCAGTCCTCCGATTCAGACGAGCCCTGATCGAACGATCCTGTTCAGCCATGATGACAGGCTCGATGATGCGCGGTGGTGGTGTAGGTGGTGACGATTCTGGGTTAGGGAAGGCCTAGGAGTTGTGGTTGGCTGCTTCCCTAAGTTGACCTGCTTCCTGTTCTGTCGGCAGGTCTTCTCGATCTCCAGATCTAGTGGCAGTAAATCGTCGGTCGTCCTCCTAGGCATGCACGAGGAGGATAAACCTGAAAATTCTTCTGCACACTAACACCCAGATTCACTCACAAAAATCAATAAAAATAAGATATGGCAGTCCCCGGCAACGGCGCCAAAAACTTGATAGGGCCAAAAGCGTATATGCCTTAATCCTATCTTGTAGTAAACCGGAAAGTCCGGGTATCGTCTCTCAGGGACTGGTACAACCTTATATTCTATCAAATTTATGAGCAAACTATAAGTGAAAATAGTTTAATGAGACTAATTTCTAAAAGCAAAATAAAATAAACAAATTAACTAAATGAAAACTGTCGGGAGAATTTCGATGGGAGAAAGCTCTGGGAGAAACACCGGGATTCACTACCTATCCTATCCAAATTAATTCACATATTCCAATCAGTTTAATCCAATTCTCTACAGCCAGGATATCACTAATGTGCTAGCTATCCTTGTCGGGAATTACTACGTACTAAACAATTAAATCAAATCCTACTGTCGTAGCTCAATGAGTTAATTATTTAGCCTGAAGAACGATATCCCAATCAAGACTGCATAGCATCTTATTTAATCCACTGTCGCTTTGATAAGTTACTATGTCACATGAAATAGGTTCAGTTATTAGGGTTTCACTGTCGCTAATAACCTAATTAACTACAAATCGTTGTATTGGTGGCCAGTCAACACAAAGCATTAAGCAATTTCATGCAATAGAGATTGGAAGAAAAGAAATATGAATCAATCCATCAAACATAGAAATAGCTACATCCTATGGTGTTTCCCCCAGAAATCGGGATTTAGTTCATGACGAAATTAAGATAAAACATTAGGGTTTTGATCATCATGTTCTAAATCAACAATACACAACTAGTTCGGTTCAGAAAATCCAACCAACTAATCGCTCTCGTTGAACTCAGCTCAAGCCTTGAAGAAGTCGATTGTCAATTGCCAATCGCCGCTCCAATCTCTGCGCGCGACCTGCTTTCTATTCTTTAATTCCCCTCGCAATTATGTTCCGCTGCGCCTGCTTTTCTATCCCTCGCCCAAAGAATTCCTGTGTCCCTCTTTTGGCCGCTTCTCTTTTCCCCAAAGTGATTTTCCACCCCCCTCTCCGTAGTCCCAATCCAATTTCGTTTTTCTAATAATTCCCCCCTTTGGGCCAATTCCGTCCATTCCCAGAGAAGTTCCAAATAAGCTGCTGCTTTTCTTTTGCCTTCTGCCTCTCGGTCCAAAATTAATCTCGGCCCAATTGCGTCTCCTTCCCGAGACAAAGCAATTTGGGCCCAATTAATAGCTTGTGCACTCGCTTCTTTTTCGTGCTTTCTCCACCTATAACATACCAAACTCATGGCACTAGGCAGTAATGGTTTTTCAACCATTTCCGGGTTAGCGAGTCCTAAAAGAGCACTAATTGGCTTAAATATATCATGGGATAGTCACATAAAGTTCAAGAATCTGATATATTTAAGCTGATTATCACCTTTCTTGCGAGGGCTCCACTCTTTACAGTCAGGAAGCCAAGTGTAGTTATTTGGTATATGTGCATATGTTAAAACCCTTGCCTGGGGGTCCCTGCGATTAAGAGCAAACCATTCTGTCAAATGTGTCTTTCCGACATTAGGATTCCCCAAAACATTTCGAACATTGGACTGTTTCTTATAAGGTATTTTTTGCTGACCATCCAAATGAACTCCCAAACGCACCACTGCTGGTTCTCTCACATGAATTGGATATTCATTCAGCCTCCATATGGCTTCATAAGATGACAGTGATCGACAGTCAATGTTCTGTTGAATTTCATCTCTGTGCCTCCGAGCATGCATCTCTGGATCATTTTGCGATGCATCAGCATTTTCAGCAATAACCAATGATCTGTCCGGCCCTTTTGCCACATATTTTAAAAGATACTTAATGAGTTTGCCTTTATGACATACCTCAACTTTTACGTGAGCTTGCATTCTCACCAACAAATTCCTGTTGTATGGAACAACATCTCGATTGTCAAGTACTGAACTTCCCTTCTGAACCTTTATGCCAGAGTTTGATCTTTTATAGACAACATTTCCGAACTTGTCAAATGTTGTGGCAGAGTTGAACTCCTTTGGGAATTGTTTGGAACACTTGCCGTTCGTGAACTGTTTTCTGTCTCGCATACATGGTGCATTTGTATTTGCTTCACCGCATGGACCATGCAACATATATCTACAAACAGCTTCATATCCAACCGGATCTTGTTGAGGGTCTGGAATTTCGTCTGAGATTACCTCATCAATATCAACCGATGTCCTCAGTTTATACTCTTCAGCCAACCAAACCAGCAAATGTATGTGGGGCAAACCTTTTTTCTGGAACTCCACTATATACATTACTGGAGCAAAGCAAGCCATGTTAAAAAGGCAGGTATTCATATGTATGTATTGAAAAGCACCGAACAAGCCACATTCATGTAGCGATGTTAAATGAATAGCCTATACTTACTTGCAATTGTTTTCCCAAAGTAGGAGTTTTTCTTGATGTCATCAATGAGAATGCTAAGCTTAGTGTGAAAGACCCTTGAAACCACCAATGGTTTATCTGAGCTATTTGGGCCAACGATATCACGAAAAGCCTCAGTGATTTCTTCCCACAATGAATTACAGGTGAATGTAATAAATAGATCAGGATTTCCAAAGAATTCGACCACCGCCATTGCATCGTGATATAGTTGTTGCATATACCGTGGGCTGCCAATATAGGTACCCGGGAGTACAATATGACCCATTTTATCTCCGTCAAGATCACCACACGCCATCGCATCTTGTAGTCCTTGATAAACCTTAGCTCTAAGTTGTGGCTGATGATAACGCAAAAAAGCCAACATTTTTAGCTCTATTGATGAGTAAGCATCAATACAGAAGTGCTGAAGAGCTTTTCCAGCTTGAACAATCGTATGACCCTCGCCATTGCGATATTGAAGCCTAAATGCGTAGTATTCACGCTGAGTAACAAATTGTCTGCACATAGAAGGAGGACAAAAAGTTGATATGTATTTGATGAGCGGATGATAACCATCCTCTCCATATGGAAATAAGAGTGGGAAATGCAACGCATCAAATTTTGGATTGAGACTCGTAATTCTCTTTAAACCCTCATAGATATGATCAATTATGATATCACGATCATCTCTGTCTGGAATGAAATCACCTGGTATAAGCACTGCAATCTCAGTGCTGCTAGGAAAATCATATTGCCGATTCCTGCTCTTGGCTCCAAATATTCAAAGTTTTAAATTCGTTGTCGAAGAATCCTGCAGCTGCTGCCGAACCCGCCTAAAGGTTTTGACAAGCTGGTTATGTTGATCAAGAATTTGGAGCAATGATGTGAGCAGTTCTGGCATAAGTAGACCATCACGGGATGCGAAGTTTGCCAAACGATTGTCAATTTCATTCTCCGGTTCAAAAATATAAAGTTGGGCAAACTTTGGTTTTTCACCATCAGGAGGCAGCAGTGAACCAATCCTATGATAGTTTTCTCCACATATAACCATTGAATACGACCCCCTTCTAGAGAGAGAGCGAGGGTCGATAGAAGCACCAAATGATGTAAAACACAGTGAACCGTTGTATGGTCTAATGTTATCTCTGAAATGCTTAGACATAGCGCTACCATCGAATTGCAGAAGCTCAGCCAACAAACGCGGAGGTTAAGCTATATATGGCAAACCAACACGACCTTTCTGACAACAGAGTCCATAGATAGGATCGGTCATTGCTCGGCGTCGATCAAGCCTCTCCAAATCCCAAAACAAAGCACCACAGAATTTACAGACACATTTTGGTTGACCTGTGTTCAGAATATCATCATGGAGTGGCTTTCAAGCCGTGGGAATGGATCTAGAACATGATGTAGTTCCAGATGAGTTATGCTGCCATGAACGATCAGTTTTCCACTATTCAGCTTGGCTCACTCGACTGTTATTTCCGTTGCATCCAGCCACCAAATCGGGTTCCCCTTGTTCCAGGGAAGAGATACCCTTAGTTATATTTCTGGACCCCAACTGTTTCAGAGTCTGGTAGTGCGATTTTCTTGGCTTTGAAGATTCTGATATGTATAAGACACACAGAGGATAACAATACAATAAAGCTACGATACAATCCAAGATTGATAAGGCTTGATATTCTCATGAGAATCTTATAATTTAAAGAACAATCCTATGATGGCAGTGTACTCATCACCTGATGAAGATGGCAAGACTTGATGAAGACCTTGTAATGACTCCTGCATAGTATTCTTAGACACAAAATCTATGTCCCCAAACGATGCTTGAGGAATTGTGGAATCTTGCGATGGTTGTTCCGTAAACTCAATCCTGGCTCTCTTACGTGTTAGAGTCTGATACTAAGTCTTTCTTTTCTTGGGAGGCATTGCTGCATATCAAAAGCAGAAATAGAACATGACCAGAATCATTTATTGTTGAGATGTTTAATTAGCCAAATTGAGACAAAAACAAACTAAATCCAATGCGTTAAATGAGAATGTGTTGAAGGAAAATCATAAAAACCACTCTCATCTATTCACCAGGCTCATCAAGGAGGGAAATAAATAAAAAACCAGCTTGCCTTTGACAGTCACAAACGTGATGACTACATGAATGGTTGCCTACTTAGTCTGCCAAACAAAGGATATAAATAAGCAAACCACAGATGAAAAATCATGGTGGAATGAAAGAAGTTCTTGCAGAAGATTACATAACCCCAATGAGGGGGAAGATTTATATTATATCAATTAGCTATCACGAATATGTGAGCTATGTATTAATTAGTATATATCCTTACAATGTGAAAAATATCTAACATTTTATTGGATTAATAAAATGATGAAAAGCAATCATATTAGTTTAATCTTTTGGGCAAAAAGAGGCGGCACCACACTAAGAAATATCAAGAGGACTAAGAAAGATTAAGAAAATGTTCATGTATCATAAATCAGTCCAAACGTCCTTTTCTTTTGAAACATGTGTAGTCAGTTCGAACAGATGAAATGTGTTAACAGCTGACAATTTCGTAGTTCTGGAAACAGTCTGCAGGCTCCCCAAAAGCCACAATGTCCCTATTCAAACTGCCCGAGAGAAATTGAGATAAGCCCCCCCCCCCCCCTCAAAACTGGACGTGTTCTAAGCGAAGAATGAACAAATAGTGAGGGAAACAGAAACACGAACTTGCTCAATCGACATCAAATAACATATGATGAGGGCAAAACAGGCTGGCAGTAGTCTTAGAAAGAGCTACTAAACAAAGATGTCACGTATAGCAAACAACACCACTAAAACATCAGCAGAGGATCTAATATCAACTAATCAGCTACTAATTATCCAACAAAAGGTGAAAAGCTATGTAAACCAAAAGCACAGAAGTATTGTATCTTCTGATAATATCCACACAGCTGCAAGCGCTACATTCCTGAAACCCAGAAATCCAAAACGACAATATCCACACAGCTGCAAACACTACATTTCTGAAACTCAGAAATCCAAAATATGATTGTCTAGAGGAGGAGAATAACTTTCATAAGCAAAACAAAATATGGCATCTCCTTGAATGTTAGGCAGCTGCAATTCTGGAGACATCAGCAGCTACGCAGAGAAGCACAAGATCCATGCACAAAAACTTGAACCCAAAACATATCTACTTCATGCAATAAAATCAACCGTGAAAGAAATAAGATACATAGTTGCCACAAAAACTGATTTGCAAATGAAATATGACAGAAAAATGAAACAAAATAAGAAAATGAGGAATGACCTTGACGCTGTCATCACTTCTTGAACAAAGTACGTTTCACTGTTGGGTTCTTTTGACTGTCCACTGGAGAATCCCTTTCTGTATCAGCACCTGCCTGAGAGGAACCACCATGTGGCAAAGGAGTAATCTCGACAGCATCTAACTTCTCCACCTTGATCTTGGCGAGTGGCGAAACCAATCTTGAATCAAACATAGCTTTTAACTGTGAGTGTTGGGGAAAAAACACAGAAATAAAAAAAATACTAAACTTACTATATACGATATACACACCTACAATGATGCAGACGGGGAGCCAGCGGCTAAACCAGAGGTCTTTCCAGGAGATGACTCAGGAGATGGCTTCAGAATTTTCACAGCAGATGTAAACGAACCATGACTAACATCCTCGGAGCTCATAGACTCATCAATTCTGGATGTTCGCTTGGAAATCATCGGAGGAGTAGATCTGGCAAATGGAGCACAGGATTGGACTGAAGAAGGAACGGGCACAGCTGGAGCAGCTGGGCTAGAGCCAGCTTTTACACCAACCCTCGGAAAATGTGAACCCCCAAGAATCTGAGAGCCAGCAACAACATCCTCCCTTTCGATATTTGCAGGAATAGGGATCTGCAAATCCTCAGCTATTGAGCTGTGAAATAAATATACCACGATAAATAATTCAAGACATATCCATCAATAGCACCGCTAATTGACAAAGAAAATGTTGCTATAGATGTGAATACCTAACAGTCTGGTCTGGCTCCCCAGTGATACTGAACGGAACTACTGAAGCCTCAATGAGTAGAGGACCTGAAACCTTTTCCTTTCCCTTCGTAGCCCTTGAGAACATAATGCAGACAATTCATAAGGCATAGCAAACAAATCAAAGAACAAAAACACAGAAGACAAAGCAACCAATACTGACCTCAATGAACTCGAAGAAACGCCTGCGTTACCTGCTGCACACATAGCCAAACTCGGGACAGCAACAACAGGACCAGACAACGAAGGTTGCAAGGAATACTCAAGCAAATCGCCCACCACCGTAGGGTCATCAAGCGGAACGACTTGAGTTATACGGAACTCACCCGAAGAGAAGCCAGTAAGACCAGACAATGGTAACTTACAATCAAACTTGACATACTGCCCTCGCAATTGATGCAGTTGCGGGGGCAGCTGACCAGGACGATGAGGGAACTTTTGGGCCAGATGTGCAACAGAAACATTAACCAACGCAAGGGCACAACCCCCATCAGTATAAACCGAGCCTCGCAAGAGTCGTCCCTCAGTGTATGCTGAAGCTTATAACTGGAAAAAAGAAGAACATAAGAAAAAAAACCTAAAACAGACAGGAAATGCAGAAATAATGTGCAACATACTTGACTCGAGTTTGCTCCTCGTCCAGCTGCCAATCTTTTGGGCACCAAAACGTATTGTCTCGACGCTTCGAAACAGCTCTCAAACATAACTTGCACGAAATGTAATACCAAGGTGTACTTGACTCAACATCAACAATCACTCCACCACAACGGTACCTCTCTTCCTAGCAAAGAAAAGAAAGTCCATTCATTCCCAGCGAAAGAGAAATAAAAACAGTAAACTTTTCAGAAGAAGTAGGCAAAAACCAGTGAGGAATTCATTCGAGACAAGCTCAAAAACTGATCCAAAGTCTTGGTTTGTCGATCAGCATCAGCAGCTGTAGCAAACTCCACTGGCAAGGACTCAACAACTTCATGTTTTTCGGCAAACCTAAGACAAACACAAACAACATGAACCTAACTACACTGTGCCCCGAGCATAGAATGAACATCAAAACAGGCCATACAAAATCCGCAATAGCCCATAACCAACTTACCTAGATGCAAGAAAATAGGCCTTCGGTACGGGAGGATTGACCGCTATGCGTGTACCGGCTGAACTCAAAAGAATATAATCATCTGAAAAAAGAACAAAAGACAGGAAAAAATAATGGCACACCAATATTTCTCGCAGAACCCCGAAAAAGATACATGCAGTTAGGGGAAAAAATACACCTCCCAACTTATTAACCAGCAAGCAGCCAAATGCAAGAATCACAGCTTCAATCGAGTCAGCCTGAGTGAGAGCAACATGGTCCAACACCGCAGAAAACTCATCCCAGAGTGTAATAGTGACTTTCACCACACTAGAGAAAAAAACACGGGAATACGTGAGGAACGACATAGAAGAAACAAAACGCACACGACTAAACTCAGAAACCCTAGAAAAGCGTAAAAACCTTTCATCCTAGATGAGAACCGTCTGCTTGACTGCGGGGCCGTTATTAGTGATTTTATGCGATATCCCACTGATTGAATGGAGCCGGCCAACGACATCTACGAAAATAAAACGGAGGCAAAACATTACGACACAAACAAAAAGCATATACATGCAATTAATAAGAAGCGAGCAAAAATAAATCTACTGACCTGTCAAGTAACGATGATTACCAGCACGCGTATTTAACTGGGAGAAAGGCACAAACTCGTACGCATCAACCGGAAAACTCTCAATAGGAAGACCACAGGCTTGGAAAGAAGTCGAGGGTGAAGACCCAAAGCCAAATCAAAGGAACATGGGCGATACTGATTTGGCGGGTTGCTCAAACCAAAGGACTTTATGACATATATCTTGCCAACACAAAGGTTACGACGGATCCCATCAGCCATTGAAGTTGGCGAAACGCCATGAATCAGCGTACCATGCGAAAAGCACACCACAACGGATCAAAAAACAAAATACAGAGACAATCAGAGAACGAAGCAGAAAAATATAGACGCGAAGATTTGGAGACTTACCGTTTCGTCGGTCCAAAGAGTACAGTAATTGTAGATCCTGATATCCCCCGGAGACTTCGCCGGCCACACATGCAGCAGCCGCAGCCGCAAAGAAACGACCGCATTGCGCGGGCCGCCGAGGTTGCAAAGCAACGTGAATTCCATGTTCTCCGAGGTGAAGATCACTAAAGAGAGAGAAAACAATGGCCAGAAAGATAACAGAATGATAGAAAGAGAACAGAAAGATAATGATGAACTGCTGGCGTAAAAAAAAGCGTATAAAAATAAGAGAAAGAATTAGCAGGCGCAAGTGCGGCTCGTGTCAGTTACCGGCCCAATAGCGAACAGATACGTAAGGAAACTGAAACAGTGTTTCTGCAAAGAGATAAGGACAACGTGAAATAGGCGAACCTTTTGAAAGAAAGAGCACAAAAAGTGGCCAAAAAATTCTAGACGCAAGAGTGGCGGGTTTCAGATACCAAGGCAAAAGCAAAGAGGATTGCTCTCCCCAAGACTCAAACGGAAGGGGCCGTGTGAGGAAAGGCGCGCCCATCATTACCCGCAATTCCGAAGGTCGAACACCAATACACAAGGCAAGAGAGGGAAAACGACAGGTATAATAATTATGAGAAAGACTCACGGGTAATAGTTGAGAGAAGCAGAGAAAGGAAATAAAAAAAAAAAAATAGCGAAGAGAGAATTAGGGCTCAGTTGAGGGCAACGCAACACTCACAGAAACAACGGGGGACAAAACCGCAAGGGCCAGAGAGAAGCGCGCAGCCAATAAAAAAAGGCAGGCGAGGCTAGTTGCAGACCATGGACCAATCAGAACAGGGTGAACAATAATTTTGAGTCTAAATGAACAGGAAAATCGTGTCTAGGCGAACAGTGCACCATGTCTTTGCAAATAACTTCTTTCAATTGTGGAATTTGATTGATTTTGAGTTGCCGTCCAAAGTGGGGGAAAAGAATAAAAAATATAAAGCAAATGCAGTTATTCGGCAGTTACCGGCTATGACAACATATATAGAGGCAGTCACCGTTTACGACTATGGTGGGAGAGAAAATTGCGGGATGGAAAAATAATGATGTAGTTTTGTAGGAATTTTTTTAATGGAAATGGATTCTGATTGGTTTAATTGGTGCTGACGTGGGAGCACCAGCGATGGATAAATTCAAAATGGTGAAGCTTTAAATTGGAAAGTGCATAATATATTCTTTAGATAAATGGACGGGGGAAAATTATACGTCCGTCCCGGACCGACTCATCTTATCGATATATAATCCGATTTTTGCCGAAATATTATCAAAATGCTCATTTTTAAATCGTGAAATTCCTAGCGATCGAAATATGGGGTTTGCCGGAACGAGATGTTACACTACCTATATTAGGTGCAGAGATGATGAATGATGTATTAACTCGAATGATGATGATAATCATGGATAGTTAGTCTTATTATTATTGCTTATATAAAATGATAGTTTATGATAGTAACATCATATGGTTATGTTTTATTCATTAACAAGATAATTGTTTTCATGTAATGTTATGTTATTTGGTTAAGACATTTTATTCCATGGTTAATGAAATTTAAGCTTAATTGGTTTGGTTATTATCACGGTAACCATTTGAACACCCCCTACTTAATGCGACAACGAGTCACCCATGCAACCCACAGAGATCCGCTAGACAGAAGAACATTCCAAGCATACCTAATAACACATGCCTTATTCCAGACAACAAAGTTTCGAATTCCAAGCCCACCCTCTTTCTTAGGTCGAGTCACAAGATCCCATGCAACCAAGGTCCTCGTCCTCAAATTAGAATCAGATATGTCCCACAGAAATTGACTGCATATTCTCCCAACCTCGGTAATAACAAACTTAGGTAGGAAGAAAATGTTCATCCAATACTGTAGAATGCTTGAAAGAACTTAACTGATAAGTTGGACCTTGCCCGCAAAACTCGACAACTTTGCTCTCTAACTTTGAATCTGATGTATGATTTTATCAACCAAGACACGACAGTCATTCCTAGTTAACTTGCTGGTTATTAAAGGTTCCCCCAAATATTTAACTGGAAGTTGCCCAAGTGGGAAACCAGAGTAAACATATATACTAAGTTTTTCTTCTTCAGTAATCCCTGCACAAAAGAGTTGGCACTTCCCAGGATTGCATCGTAGACCAAACAAACTATAAAACTCATCAAGCAATCTTTTAACACCCCCACCCCCCAATAGAACCATTTGTGAACACTAATAGGTCATTAGTGAAACACAAATGCGTAGTAGCTAGGGGTTTGCACCTAGGATGATAAGGGATTTGATTCTCAGTAGCTGCCTTCTTCAGGAGACCATCCAACACTTCCATAGCAATAGCAAACAGATAGAGAGACAAGGGATCACCCTGTCTAATTTCAAATTTAAAAATCATCTAATCTAACTATTATTTTTTTGGTTGGTAGGTAGACGCAAGCGTCTAATTCACATTAAAAGTAAAACGATCATGGAAAACTCCCATTACATCATGGAGGATGCATTAGACAAGGTTCATATCACACACATTGAAAATATGTGTGCTAAAATCAAAGTCATGTGCCTTGTTTGCTAAGCAATCGACAACAAAATTAGCTTACCTATACACGTGAGAACCTCTAACCTTCCAGTCAAGGTTAAAAAAAAAAAAAAAATTTGCTTCGCCAAACTTCCATGTTGATGGTCGTCCTTGTGGCGTTGCTTGATGATCTCAAGAGCAGTCGTAGAGTCGAGGTTGAGCTGGAGCTTTCTGTAGCCTCTCTGCCAAGCAATTTTCAGTCCTTCCAGAGCTCCCTTAAGTTCAGCAACAGTGATGGAGCACGAACCAAGGTTGCAAACGAAAGCTCCCTTGCAAACTCCCAGATGGTTTCTGAACAAGTCTCATGTTGCTGCTTTTCCAGTTGTGGTGATCACAGGGCCATTAGTTTGAAGCTAGATCCATCCATCACTTGGGGGTTGCCAGCTAATCATCCTACTGTTTCCTACAGCAGCCTTGATGGTGGTAGTTTTCTGAACATTTTGGTGTGCCAGATAATGATTCCAAAATCAATAGCTTTGTCCTCCAATTTGAGGTTGGTTAGCAACCATTCTTGCAATGGAAGGTTCATGCTGTTGGCTACGACTTTGCAATGGAAAATCTCCCAAACACTCCTAGCTTTGTTGCAATGTCTCAGAATGTGCTCAACGATCTCTTCTTTGTCCTTGCAAAAGTTACACTAGTTGTTGGCGATGAGTTTCCTTCTGTTTCTTTCTTTGTTGGTCATCAATCTATCGTGCATTACAAGGCACTGAAGTGCTTGATTCTGCTTGGCCCCTTCCATCTTCATAGATCTTTCCAGCCTCTTTTTGGTTCCTCTTCATCCTCTTCAGCAGCAAGCTTGTATGCTGATTTTAAGCTTAACCGACCATCTTTCTCCAATCCCCAGATGTTTGTGTCCTCTCCAAGGCCAGGGTTGGGGGACTCCAAACCTGCAATCATAGATAGGATGTCATCAGGGAGACCAACTCTAAGCTTTCTCCAATCCCACATAACTTCCTCGGTGACCCACTCTTCAACGACTGAATCTTTCTCCTCTTTTGGGACATCATCAAGTGCAAAGTGTTCCATGATAATGTCATTGTCGATCTAGGGCCGAGACCAAAACTTGGTGGTTTGGCCATCACGGATGCTCCAGCAGGTGGCATGTTTCATCAAGTTCATTCCTTTAACCATGGCCTTCATAGATTGGAGTGGTTGCTCTTCTTCATGGACATAATTTCACCATTCCTTTGCTTGAAGTATTTCCCCTACAAAACTTGAACCCACAAATCATTTTCCTTATTAAGCATGTTCCAAAACAAGCTTAATCATGTAAGCCATGTTCATCTGTCTAGCATATTTTAACCCAATGTCACCTTGATCCTTAGGTTTACGTATGTTCTCCCAAGAACAAGGTGTGCCTTCCTTTTCCTGTCCCCATAATCCCACACAAAGGCTCTAACTTTCCTATCAATGGTATCACAAATGGAAGCAGGTAGGAAAGTTGTTTGCATCGCATAGGTTGGGAGGGCATTAAGCACAGAGGTAGCAAGTGTTACTCTGCCAACAAGGGAGAGTTTTTTTAGCTTTACAGTTAGTAAGATTTTGGTCAATCCTATCAATGATGTACTTGTAAGTATTCTTGGTGATTCGACCATGTCACATAGGGACACCTATGTATCTTCCTAAGTCACTAGTTAGGTTGCATTCTAAGTCTCTTACAGATTTCCAACCTATTATGGTTCTTAACATTTCTAGAGAAAAACACCCTAGACTTCTCCTTGCTAACAGCTTCTCACTGAGGCATCACAGAAATAGTTCAAACAATTTAGGACAATATCAGCTTGAAGAGGGTTAGCTTCCACAAACAACACTAGGTCATATGCAAAGAACAGTTGGGAGAGGGTTGGCCCTCCAGTTGAAATCCTGATAGAGTTCCAGATACCAGTTTCAACTTCATGAAAAATGAAGTGGCTCAAACTTTCAACACGAAGGGTAAAAATGTAGGGAGAGAGGGGACATCCTTGTTTGAGTCCTCTTGTATGTTTGAAACTTTCAATCTCCCAACCATTCCAGAGGACTTGATAGCTAGTATAAGTCACACATTCCATGATCATGTTGATAGTGTTAGCTGGAATCCTGGTAGCTTTGAATGTTTCTTCTAGAAAGTCTCAATCAATCCTGTCATAGGTCTTAGCAAGGTAAAATTTCAACACCATATAGCCCTTTTTGCCACTCTTCCATGCCATTGAATGAAAGGTTTCTTGCAGGATGATAATTTTGTCAGTTATGTGATGATTGGGAATAAAGCTAGACTGGTTTTTCTTAACCAAATGAGGCATAAGAGGTTTAAGATTGTTGGCACCAAGTTTTGCCACAACTTTGTAGCCAACATTACACAAAGTAATGGGTCTGAATTGACTCATAGAAGAAGGGTTATCAACTTTGGTGATCAGGGTGATAAGAGTCTCATTTAAACTATGAATTCTACTCGGATTCCTAAAGCATGATAAAATGAAAGCACAAAAATCACTTCCAATGGAATCCTATCACTTCTAGTAGAAGATGACTTGGAAGCCATCATCCCTGGTTCTTTGAGGCCATTCATGTCCATCACAACCTTCCCAATATCCTCAAAGACAGGAAAAGAAGCCATTCTAGCCAAGACAACATTATCAAGTAAGGGGAAATCAACATGAATATTGTTCCTAGTGGTCAAAGCATTCTTAGTAAAGAGGTGAAGGAAATACTCTCTGGTCATGAAGAGGAGGGTGTCAGTATAAAAAATCCATTGTCCCTGATCATCACGTAGACAGGTGATCTTGGTTCTCTTCCTCCTGCTAAGAGTACTGGTATGGAAGTAGTGATTTGGGTCTAATTGTACACTTTTCTCCCTGTTTCTCTTTGACATTTGTTGCAATTGAGCTCCAAAAGGGGTGGTTTTATGTTAGGTTTTGTGTGTTTCAGATTCTAACAGGTGAAACCAACCCCGGAGTCGAAAGTTGGAAGAAAAGGAGGAAACAGCCTGTGTTCACGGTCTGCCATTGGAGTTCACAGTCTCCAAGACCGTGAACTGGAAACATAACACGTGAACCAAGAAGCATCCAGAGGGGATTCTGAGGTTACTGACGCCAAGGTTGTTCATGGTATCTAAGACCGTGAACTGCAACCACATATTGTGAACCCAAGAAGTGAGCGGTGCATTTTGGTTCAGCACACTATGTTCATGGATGGGTTTTGATGTTCACGCTGTGAACTCAGGCCGCGAATTGGGCACGATCTCAGTATAAAGAGCTAGCTGAAAGGAAGAAGGGAGAGACCTAGTGTGAGGAACTTCTTCTTCTTCTTTAGATTTTTATAGTGAGAAAGTGACGAACCAAAGAAGAGGAGAAGCTAGGGTTTCATCTCCAAGCATGGATTTGGGAATTCCTCCCCCCCAAAGGAGGATCTCTTCAACACAAGGATCAAGGCTAGCATCTTTTTGATGGTTTTCCGTCTTCTCCCTTGTGTTTTTCCTTCTCCTAGCATGGAGTAGTCCCTTATTTCACCTGGGTGTTTGTAAACCCTAGCTACAATTATGTGATGCTTGTATGAATTGAATGATTTGTGTATGGTTGTGTTTAATGTGAATGTGGATGTATTATTCATGAATGATTGTGTTGTTTGAAAGCCTATCAATCTAATTGCCATTCTAACCTAGGTAGAGAGAAAACCCCCTTCCTTTCTTTGAGAGAGGCTTGAATGCCGGGTTTTCTTGGGCAATTCGTTGTCTCCTAGTTAGGTTAACGTAGGGCCAACCTCCTATTTCGTATTAGCACTTAGGGTTTGGTTGTGGGTAGTCGTCCAAACTCCAATTCGAGGGTGAAGTCTAACCATTCTTTAGTCAATAGGTTGAGAGGGTCGCATTAGTGGCTTGGATCGTATCCCATTTCCTCGACCTAGAGACTAAGAGGGTAGCTTTGGCTACTTGTTACACTTCCCTGTAGTTTATAACCCCCTAACCACACACGGTCATTCGATCCATCAAGTCGTAATTGTTAGCTAGGGGCAGCAACACCCGGGTGAAGCCTTTTCAATTAGTGTCAAAACCATTTCATCTTTGCCAAGTACTTTAGCTTTAGATCTTCGTTTTAACCAAAACTATCTGCTAGATAATGTTTCAAACAATCGAAGTAGGGGTACATGGGTCGGCCCGGGTTGATATTTAAACATACTTGCCCTATATTGCACCCATCTAAGGTTTATACTTGGACCCATCTAAGGTTTATACTTGGAGCCATCTAAGGTTTATGCTTGCCATATATTGCCCTACCCTCTCAAACCATTACCAACCCCAAGGATCATATCGAGGTTAATGCAATTCATTTGAGGAGTGGGAAGGTGAATCTGGAGGTTGTTGCCAAAGAAGTGAATGAGAAGGAAGACCCTCTACCCGAGGGTGGAGAAGAAGAAACCTCGGGAGAAAAGAGAGGAGTGGCAAGGAAGGCATTGCTGACGCCACCACCTGCGGCTGAGTACACGCCACCACCTATGGCTGAGTACATGCCACCCATACCTTTTCCCACGAGGGTGCATAAGGAAAAATTGGAAGTGGAATGTGGAGGTTTCATGGAGATGCTCCGAAAGCTCCACCTCAACATTCCCTTCCTTGAAGCAATGACCCACATGCCAAGGTATTCAAGATACCTCAAGGGGATGCTCTCTAAGAAGTCAAAGTTCGAATACCTCGCCATTGTCACCCTAGGCGAGGAGTGCTCAACCTTCATCCTCAATAGAGTGCCCAAGAAGCAACCCGATCCAGGTAGTTCCACCATACCCCTTTGCATCAGTACTCATCACATAGAAAACTCCTTGAAGGACTTAGGGGCGAGCATAAATGTGATGCTATTTAAGATTTTTAAGAGGCTAGACACAGGTGAAATAAAGACTACGAGGCTTAGTGTCACATTGGCCGATCACTTTGTCATTATTCATAGAGACTAAGAGGGTAGCTTTGGCTACTTGTTAGACTTTCCTGCGGTTTATAACGCCCTAACCACACACGGTCATTCGATCCATCAAGTCGTAATTGTCAGCTAGGGGGAGCAACACTCGGGTGAAGCATTCTCAATTAGTGTCAAAACCATTTCATCTTTGAAAAGTAATTTAGTTTTAGATCTTCGTTTTAACCAAAACTATCTGCTAGATAATCTTTAAAACAATCGAAGTAGGGGTACATGGACCGGTCCGGGTCGATATTTAAACATACTTGCCCTATATTGCACCCATCTAAGGTTTATACTTAGACCTTAGGTGGGATATTATTGTGATAGTCAGAGCAAGTCAAGTAACAGGTATTCAGATCTCCAAACACCACTTAGTTGGATCTACACTTCTGGATCCAGAGCAACTCTTCTTGCCAAAGGGTCTGCTCAAGGTCTTCCCTAATTTGCTGCTCCTTCTCGATTGATCTTGTTTTTGGTCTTCTTTCATTTATCATCTCCAGAGATTTGAGTTCAGACAAATAGTGTTTCTTCCTTTGAAAGATATTGACATAGACCTCCTTGTTGCATTTTTTAAGTTCTTCCGAGAAATGTTGTAAAGCCAGGGGAAATTCCCCTCCACCATTCCAAGAAGAAGTGAAAAATGAATGGAAGTTCTCATGAGCAAGCCAGGAATTGGAATCTTCTCACTAGTTTCTGCTTAGCCTTCTGGATGGAAGTGCAGGTCAGGATGGGTCGATGATCAGACTTAATCTTTGGCAGGTGGTAAATAGTGGTCATGGGAAACTTATGCTGCTAGGACAGACTATAGACGATCTGATCAAGTCTCTCATTGATTCCTAGCCTTCTCGTGAACCATGTGCATTTGGGACCCGAGAACCCAAGACAATCAGCCCACAGTCCACAATACAATCATTGAAGGCTCGGAATTTGACAAAATTGAAGCTAGCTCCACCTTGCTTCACACAAGCTCTTGAAATGGAGTTGAAATCCCCTGTCAGAAGCCATAGGAGGATAGTAGACCTTTCAATACTCTTGATCGAGTCCTAAAGGATGACTCTATCATACTCATTTGGGCTTGCATACACAACAGTGAGTTGCAACTTCTTCTTCTTTTCAAAGTTGCACTTGAGGTTAATGTATTGTTTGTGTGTCAATGTCTTCCATATTCACATAAAATTCATTCTGTAACATCCAAATCCCTCCCCTAAATCCAACTACATCAGAGATAGTCTAGGAGTCAAAACCAAGTTTCCCGATAACATTAGTTGCATCATTTCCACTGATTCTGGGTTCAAGGACACACATAATATTAGGTTTATGGGTATCCTTAAGAAGCTAAAAGGTAGACAAGAACTTATGGTGCTTGGCACCCCTGCAATTCCATGAGAAGATCATAACTATGATAAAGATGATCAAAGAGACTTCCTTCTAGGATACAGCTAAACAAGTTACCAATTCTCGACGGCCATGGCTGCCACCACATCCCCTGAAGTTCCTGCAGTGGAGTTTGCATAAGGATGTTGCGTATGTTCTTGCACAGAATTCACATCCGCCTTGGCGGAGACAAATTCTATTTTCCTTCCATTACTAATCCCTTTCTCTGGGAGGCCAATGTTATTGAACCTCTGGTCTTTAGCGGCAGAGGAGGAGGGGGTCTTCATCTTAGGTTGGTGGCCTGATTTGGCCTCCTTGGATGGACCTTTGCCAGCTCCTGACTTGATGGGAGTAGAAGAGGGAGATTTCAAATCATTCATGGGTTTGCTTTGGCCAAAATCTTTGGCAAGGGGAATAGAAACTTTAGAAAGTTTCTGGTGTGTTCCCTTTTGGCTCACATTAGAGAGGTCATCCATTTTACTTACTGAAGTTGCATTGATCTTCATTTTTTCTACTTATGGGGAAACTTTTTGGTTCTCTTTCATGTTTTGAACCATCTGATTTTGTGCTTTCTCCTTGTTAGTTTCATACTCTCTTATTTCCTTCCCCTCCCTATTCTTTCCATCTGAACCTTTAGTCCGTCCTTGTTTCCCTTCACTCTTCGCCGGTGGACTATCCTGCTGCACAGTGGCTCCACTTGTCATTGTTGGTTCTTGCTCCACCTTCATAAACTAGCATACTTGTATTCTCCATTTCATTCTCTAACACTTCAAAGCACGATCCAGAGTTCGGAGTGGCCTCTTCATTAACTGTGTCTCTGGTTGCCCTTGCAGTGGTTCGGTTCTTTTTTTGGTTCCTTGGCCTTATTGATATAGTTGTAAGCATCCAAGGTCCGAAGTCTTCAACAACCTCTGTGCTGATCTGTTGTGTTGGTTCCTTCCTGTTTCCCGCCTTCATTCTATGCACGATCGATAGATTCTCAGAATTCTCTTTGTTGAGGCAATTCTCTTCAAGGTGGCCATAGTGTGTCCACAGTTGAAGCAAATTGTGTGAAGCCCTTCATATTCAACTCTTCGTACCCTTATCTCGAGTCTATATTTCGAAACCAACCTCCTCCTTAGATCAATTTCCACACAAATACGAGCAAAATTGCCCCTGAAACCATTGGTTGTTGTAATCGATCTTTTGAACATTCCCCAGTTTGTTACCTATATCCGTAAGGATTTCTTCATCAAAGTACGCCAGTGGCAGACGCGGAAGCCTAACCCAAGCAAAAATGTGGTGAATTGGGTCGTAGTCAGGGTCAAAATCCAACCTCCATGGCTCTGCCACAATGTAATGATCTTCAATGGTCCAGGTTCCGCCATAGAGGACCCAGTCGTGGTCGATTTGGGAGTCGAAGGCTGCCTGGCAGTATCCATTTCCAATATCTCCAACTTTCACCCCTCTAGTTTTAGCCCACATTCTTTGTATCCGGCGATGAACGAAGGCAAAGGGGAAGTTGTTCCGCAACACCCTGAAGGTAATAGCTCTATTCCATCTACTCTGGATTCTCGCATTTGTTCTTTTCTTGACCCTGATGGTGGGGCAATCTCGGTCATCTTCTCCATTCTCATCATTTGATTCATCATACATAAGCTCATTACCTTCGAAAGTATTGAACGGTGCGGTGTTGCCCAGCACAGAGTCCTTATCCGAACTAAACCAATCACCAGGGCGTGGGTGCATCCTTTTGGAATCTCCATGCTCTGAACCCCTCTGTTCCCTTTCCTCACTTGGTTGGATTGCAGTAGGAATCCCTACAAGATGACCTAGATCCATTTTTGCATCATCTCCTTCCTAGTCATTGCTTGGGAAAGCAGTGACAATAGCACAATCCATGCTACCTTCACCCGAGAACCCATCACCGGAGAGGGCCTTGGCCTTCTTACTGGGCTGAATCGGGGAGCTTGCGAGTGAAGATTCCGGGGATTTTGGGTCTCGAACGGTTGCCCCCCCCCCCCAGGAGTCTTCATTCTAACTCCACTAAAAGACAACCCAACGACTAGAAAAACAAAGACAAAGCACAAGAGAGGAGAGAGCGTTCCTCTCTCAAGTTCCTCTCTCTCTTGTTATATCCTAATCAATAACTTTACACAATTAACTAATTATTAATAATAATTAATTCTCTTTACTTCATTTAGTTGCGGCAAATACCCTGGATTTGTTTGTTGTATCACTTCCCTCAAATTAAACAACTAGTGTGGTTATTTTAAAAAAAAATTAATACGATTCAATTGGTACCAAATAATTTAATAAATTATTTAGTATCAAATGACTCGTTTGTCAACAGAAAAATGTATTAGTCATTTTGTTCATACAAACATATCATATGACTCTATCGTATCATCTTCAATGCAAAAGATTCTATCGTATCTTTTGCAGTTGACGAATTATTTAGTAGCAAACTTTCAACTATGTTACTTTCAACTATGTTCTTCCCTCTTTTTCTAATCCCACTTTTATCTTTCTCTTTCTATTATTTATTTATCTTTTCATTGTTTCTTCTCCTTTTCATAATTATTTTTTCTCCCTCAAATTTCACAAGCGATGAAGTGGGATCATCCATATCATCGTCTCCACCAAACTCTATTCACTTCAACTCATCGTGTCACTGGAGCTACTACCTTCAAAAATCATGTCACAACGCTTCATATGCGTTTGAGCTACTATAAGCTTTGCTCACTCCAATGACGTGCATGATTGTGAACTCCACATATTCATACAAGTAAGAATGACAATGGGTCGGGTTTGGAACATATTTTTCTAAACCATCCCAGTTTTCAAATAATCAAATCCATACCCGCCACATACTCATGCGTGAAGGATTTACAACCTCATCCACATACTCGCAGTTTTCCATTACCCATAGGTAATACATGTCATGTATATCAAATATTATTATATATCGAAATCAACAAGCAAGCTTTTAGTTATAACACCAAATGAACAAAATAACTCACGAAATCGACAACACTACCACCGTTCTTAACACAAATTCAAAGCATCCAATCCTAGAATATCCATTAATTCATAAAAGTACAATACTATCCAAATTATTTATTTGTGCATCCAATACATCTCCTAAGTAATCAATAATTAACATAATTTTGTTAACAAGGGGAAAGAAGTGAAAGGGTGTAGAGTGAATGAAGCGAAAGAAATTAGTGTTTCATTTAATGGTAGCTTAATTACATTTCAGCCTTTTTATTTTGAATTACCATTATTTCATTGAGAGATTAAAATATTATCTCTGTATTTTTATATTAATAAACACCATTGGTGGGACATATATGTATATGGAATTGAGAGGCTAAAACCATCTCATATTAGTCCCCTTTCCATCAAAATTTTTGTTGGTTTAACCTATATCTACCTCATACCCAGTCAATACGAGAATTCCCCGTATTAAATGGATCGGGAGCGGTCGAATATCTGTGGTGGTGGGTTTGTTTTTTTTTTTTTTTTGCTAGAAGATCACTCTTCATAAGAGGAAATCATTTAGATACAAAGGAACAAGAGGGTTCATACATCCCTCGAATGAAGCCAGGAACAGAAGTCGAACCTCGGTAACATTTGAGGCGACAAAATCAGAGCTTTATGGGCCACACAACGAGCCTCTCTATTTCGAACTCTTCCCAGGAACAGAACCTGAGAAACTTCCACCACATCCAAAACTGCGAATAATTCTTGGAGAATCACACCAATCTTGTTATCTGCCGCATCCGACATCCCTAGCAAAGCATTTGTATATGATCAATTTAGCATCACTGTCAATTGTGACCCCTTGAAGCTGTCGTCGGAAACAATCCGCAACGCAGTCCCTCATGCCCAATGCCTCGAACACATATGGATCTGCTATCCCTTCATATCGCATAGCAGCAGCTCCAACGATTCCACTTGAAGGAGCAAAGAGGACAAAGCCAACCGTCCAAAAACCATGAGATGATGTTGTCACGTCAAAAGTAGCCCGCATACCCTGAGCTTCATAAAAAAACTTGGAGAGGAAAAGAAATAGCAGGTGTCATTCCCGAGACATTGGCGGGGAGTAATAATGCCTGCTCCACTTCCTTTGCTTCTTGATTAACCAAAACATTCAGTTGGAGTTGCTTGGATTAGAACACCACCAAACAATGATTCTTCCACAATCGCCAAAGCAAGCAACCCACCTGCAAAATAAGATAATCTTCTTCTGGTCCATTTGCATTGCTGAGGGTATGTCGGATAAAGCCCACAAAAGAACGCTTCTCCGACTGCCTCCAAAGTTCTTGCAAACCAATCAACCTCCAAAATTTTCGAGCCACCAAACAAGTAAAAAATAAATGTTCAATCGTTTCTTCCTTTCGACCACAAACTAGGCAAATGGGGATTAAGTCCATACCCCACACCACCAAAGCCTCCCTAGTCGGAAGCATACGATGCAAACCTTGCCATAAGAAGAATAGTAACTTCGAAGGAACCTTCCTATTCCATACCCATTTCCATAATGAATGATCCATGAACGAAACTTGATGTTTAGAGGAAGAAGGAGGACACTGCAAAGTAGTTAATAGGAGATATGCAGATTTGACTGAGAAAATCCCCGAAACTTCAAAATGCCAAACAAGCTTGTCTGCAATCCGTTGATGAGGGAGGGGGATCCCTTGAATCAGATGAACTGTATCTTCCTCAAAGTATAATTGTAGCATGCGAACATTCCAATTCTTGGTTCATGGATCGATAAAAGTAGCAACAAATGGAAAGGCATAAGGAGCACATAACCGAGGTTTTGGAATAGATTGAGGAGTGGTCAGCAACCAAGAATAAGAAAAATCTCGAATTGAGAACCCTTCTCCAACCTGCCAACGAAGCCATTTGTGAAAGCAAGTCTCTACCAAAAAGAACACTACGCCAGCCCCACAAAAGATTGGATCCAAGAGTAGCATCCATAATAGAAGGAGTAGAACTGAAGTAGCATCCCCGATGGATACGAGCCAAAAGAGAAGTTGGATCCGCAAGTACCCGCCATGCTACCTTTGCGAGGAGAGTTTGATTGACCGACCGAACCCTCTGAATCCTAGCCCCCCGGCTTGCACTTGCTTACCCGAACAAAGAAGCTTCCAAGAACGCTAATGAATCCTCCTATGTTCCTGAGTTGCCCCCACCAGAAACGAGCATGTGTGCATTAAGACACCTGATTAACTATTTTGGTAGCTGAAAACATGACATGATGTAAATGGTCTGCCACAGATTTGAGCAAAACTTCTTTGGTCGCAGTAGAAAGAGCACGTTGCTTCCAGCCTTGAAGAACTGATAATAAATTTTCTTAAACAAAACGAAAAGTCTTCATCTTTGATCTCCCTAAAAGGGAAGGAAGACATAAGTAACGATCCTAAAGACCGATCGACCCAACTCCAAGAAACGATCCCAAATCTTCTTGTTCCGATTGCAACATGTTGGGACTACAATAAACAACATATTTTTGGAGATTAACTCGCTGGCCACTGATACTTTCAAAATCTCGTAGGACCTGAAGGAGGAAGGCAACATCCCTTCGCGAAGCACGGAGAAAAATAAAAGAATCATCTGCGAAAAGAAGATGGGAAACCGATGGACACTGAGAATTGATTCGAACCCCATGCAGTTCACGTCTTGAGATAGCTCTTTTAATCATGGCAGTGAAACCCTAAGAACATAAGGCAAACAACAACGAGGAAAGGGGGTCACCTTGATGCAACCCACGAGAAGATGAAAAGTATCCAGAAGGTCTGTCATTCACCATTACCGAGAAAGTAGCCGTTGTGATACGTTCCTGAATCCAATGAATCCAAGTCGAAGAGAAACCCAATTTTCGGAGGATCGCAAATAAGAACGACCATTCGATTCTGTCGTAAGCCTTCTCCATATCCAGCTTAAGTGCCATAAACTTTTCCCTGCTCAATCATTTATTTTTTATGAAATGAACCAATTCACGAGCTACCAACACGTTGTCAACAATCTGCCTTTTCTGTACAAAATCATTATGCTCTGAAGAGATTAAGGTAGACAATATAGAACCCAATCTAGTGGATAGTATCTTTGTGATCACCTTGTACAAGAATTGGCACAGGGTGGTGGGTAGGGGTGGCTATTTGGACCGGGACCGGATTAAAAACCGGAAATCGGACCGTATAACCCGGACCGGGACCGGATAGTAAACAATCCAATCCAATTTTTGGGCTTAGATTTGAGGTAAAAAACCGGATAAAGACCGGATAAGAGAGCTCAACACCCAAAACTTAAGGGTAATTTGCATAAACGGTCACAAACCTTTTCACTTAGTACAAAACTTAACCAACTCCTCACCCTTTAAGGCCTTAGGCCACTCAAATCCCACAATCTCAATGTAAAATCAAGACCGAATTGGGACCGGACCGGATCAAAACCGGACCGGATCAAGACCGGACTGTATCCAATCTAATCTTCGGTCCTTATATTTTCAAAAAGACCGGACTGGACCGGATCAATTTGGGCCAATTTAACCGGACCGGACCGTATAGCCACCCCTAGTGGTGGGTTTGTTTGCCACCCTACATTCTTGATTTGGGCTCGAAGGAGATACCCCTTTCTTAATGAAAGGAAAAATGATATATGGGCCGCTGGGCCGAATCGGGCCCTTCTCGCATTTCCCTCCAGATAGATAAGGCTGCGTTGGCTTTTCCTGCTCAGCCTACGAAAAGAGCGATAACGAAAATCAAAGAATCAACCGCCTGAAACCAAGAACTGCAACAAGTAGTGTAGAGCTGACTGAGCTCCCTTTCTTCCTTCTGATTCCTCCTTTCTCCTATGCTATAAATGCATTCTTCACCGTTGTCCATCTCCGCCGCATCCCTTACCATCTTCACAATCAATCCTTGCCCGGAGGATTGCCGCCGCTTCGCGTCAAATGGCTTCTCTCCCTTTCTCCAGGCAAGGAATACTATCAGTAATGGCACGCTACAATCACCACCACCAGTAACTCGTCGGCGTAACTTGGCGCGGAAATTCAATGCGAATTGCCGCGCGCTCCAGAGCGATGGAGTCGCTGGAGGACAAACGGGGAAAGTAGAAGAAGAAGGAGAGGAAAGTTTGCAGCTAGTAACAGCTGTGCGAAGCAAGTACAACGACATCGCAATTGTCGATACTCCTACCGCTAGGGTTCTGCTCCTCGACTCTACTCGTACGTCGCTCTAACACATATCTCTCTAATTTTGTTAATGTGTTGAACTCTTCCAATATGCCAATGCCAATCCATAGCTGTCGTTCATTTTCCATAGATAGTGTGCATAGCGTTCTTCAGAAGGGACAGAAATGGACAGATTCGTATTGGGTAGGTGAACTGAACTGAGGCTTCCGTCTGAAATGCATAGCTTTATCGGAATCCACTTAATCCGTGACAATTGGCGGGAAAAACATCATCCAGAAATGGATTAATGTATGGATATGGTTGATGGGTATTAGTGACTGATCTATAATGCAGGACGAGTTTGCAAGCTTACCGCCTATAGTTCCAGAAGGTCCCATTTCGATACTAGGCCTGGTATACCTCTTCACTCTGCCTGCTCTGAGCATGGTCATCTATAGGATTTTTCTGCTTCCTATCGACGAGATTATCGTGGATTGATTGTAGTAAATTTTGCCTCTACAGGGTGGTGGCACTGCTGCACATCTGATGCTTGACTTATGGCCTTCATTGGAGCTTGAAGGATGGGAAATTGATGACATTGTAAGCTTGCACTTTGTGTGATTCTGTTGCATCCATTAACGAACGCTTTCTCCATTATTTAGGATGACCATTTACAGGGAGTGTTATGATTTCATTTACAATTTCTAGTTGATCCATAAAGCAAGAGTCTACTTCGGGCTATCAGATTTGGAGAAGCACACTCCAGCTGGTGGTAGACTTCATGTTCGCATCGGGGATGCACTTTCCCCTGCTGAAAACGATTATGGGAGATATGCCGGTGAGTGTTTCTTCGGCAAATTTAAGTTGATAAATGAAAGTCTATAGTCTTTACCTGAACTACAGATACAACTATCATAGCTCTTCATGTATCAGTAGCAGCTGTGTTGAACTAGCATCCATCTACACTGAACTCTGTAGGCAATTCAATTACCAGTTCCTTTCACCATAACTGTCTCTATGGATTGTCTCTTCCAAATATATTTGGAGGGCCTTAATTCCTTGGTTTACTAACACCAAGTGGCAGTGACTGTTCAGGCATAATTGTCGACTTGTTCAGTGAGGGAAAGGTGCTGCCACAACTGGAACTGGTAGGTCTGAATTAGTGAAGCACTTTGTCTGCTGCATTTCTCATGTTATCTACTCTTGCACTACATCGTCTCTTCGGCAAATGCATAACTTACTCTGTCAAAGCTTAATAGCGGAGGCCACAATGCCATTTCTTTCCTGAAACTTGCTACTGACATTTCTCCTCCGGACTGTTGTGGCTTTGCAGGTCTCCACTTGGTTGGAAATGAAGAGAAGATTGATGCCGGATGGTCGCATCATGGTGAACTGTGCTGGCATTCACGGGACAGCAGACTCAATAGATCGAACGAACCACAACCTTGAAGCGGCGCCTGGTGGAGACTGGGTTGAACACGACGTCATCAAGGCGATGTCTGAAGCATTTCCCGGGCAGGTAAAGCATGATTTCCTTCAAAGTTCCCCATATACATTTATCAAAAGGAATTGGCTCTTTTGAGTGGCGCGGGTTGAGTTGCTGCAGTTATGTTGGAAGAGGATGGAAGAAGATAAGGGTGCAAACTACCTTGCATTGACGGGCCCGCTTCCAGACCTGTCGTCATGGTCCGCCATGGTGCCAGATCGTTTGAAGGCAAGTGTGGGACAGTGGAAGCCATGTGATTCCGCAAAAGGGAAACAGCAATCAGCTCTCTAGGGCACTGATAGATAGAGAAAGGTAAAAAGCAGACGGTGGGCAGGGAGACATGATAAAAAGGGGTTGCCGTACTTGCACCACAAGGCACGCCAAAACACCAACGAACAACAAATGGCGGAATGAAGAAGAATCATTACACGGTGGTATTAATCAAGCAAAAGAAGAATAATAAACTGATAAAGATGATTTGGCATTAAGGTTATCATTCATTGTTATTAAAGGGACCATGACATGATATGAGTTCTTATTATCTTCTGGAAGAAACATCCACAGTGATGCCTTTTCGATTTACCAACACTGACGCAATTTGTGTACTGTTCTATATCCTTGCTACTCATCTACCCTTTTTCTTTCTGTTGCAGCTTCTTCTAACATGCTGAGATGTTTTATATGAACTACCACGTCCCTAAAGTCATAACCTTTCAATCTACTTCCTTTCTGTTCAAGCACGCCCTACTATGACAGCTTCTACCTATTCTCTTGTGTCGTGTGACGGTTTCGCAGTTTCGTGATTTGGGTTGCCTATCGGCGAGTGGTCTCCCATAGGCGGGTGGCTAAATCGTGTAGTAGATTCGGCGCTTGCCATGTTGTCTGGTTTCACTTGCTTTACAGGGCATTGCGGTTTGTTCCCCCAGTCCCATTGCTGGCACCTAACAAAGGTTCAACACCAAAAAGAGCTCAAACACACAACATCAAGGATGAATAAGCAAAACCCAACAGGGACCATTTAGGTAACGTAACGATACAAACAAAACGGTAGAGCTTCAGTTCATCAAACACACAATAGCGGAAAAAAACTGAAACCCATTATATTAGTAGTAAAGTCTGGAGGAGGTTTCAAGCTTAGAACATTATCACTGAAGCACATAATACTACTACTATGAGAAAAGCATCATTCTCTGAGCAAAACGGCCGACAGCAGCACAAGGGTAGAATAGCATAACAATGACAGTCTGTCCCGTAAAAAAGACCAGGAATCCAGCACTGTCCCTTTTCTCCCGCCATATCCTCTCTTCACTATCTCAAACTCGTAACTCTCTTCTTCTATCTCAAACTCTGTTTTACGGCCTTCTCGAGAGACCGGGTGCCCTACTAACTCATCAGCAAGCCTCACCACATTACTTTCAACTGTACAAGCGCAATCCTACCAAGAAAACCCGCCTAAATAAAGAGTCTCAGCAGCAGACTTACTCCACCTTTTCTTTTCTTCATGGAAAGGAAGACATAACAAAAGGAAAATAACTAAGGGAAAACATGGAGGGATCCTACAACAAAAGGAAAATGGCTCTTTTTTAGAACTGCATTCCGTTGCTATATATACCGTTTCCATTCGTTGTTGTCATTTTCGCAAACTTAGTGGCATGTCCATTTTGGTAAACACTTATTTTCGCGATGCCATTCCCAACTCCGTTGGGTTTCCCGAATCCATTGCTTACCCTGTGGTTTTGTTGCAACACTCCCTCAAGCTGTCCACATGCTGCTGCTATCAGACCTACACAATCAATCAGCCACAAAGTCGACTATGTTATCAAACCAAGCAGCACCAGAAATCCAAGATGGTGTGATTAGTTGTTTGATCAACGCAACTCAAGCGATCCTTTGGCACTTAAGAGTTACCTGTGAACACTGGAGAAGGTTTTCCAGGTCTCGATTTGAACTCTGGGTGGAACTGAACTCCAACGTAGTAAGGATGATTGGGCAGCTCAATAATCTATTTGTTTTGACAGCGAAGGGAACAGTCATCAGAATCCATCTATATTCCAGGCATGTCCAACTTCTGTACACACAATAGTGGAGGGAGCGGGAGAAAAGGAATGAAGAAACAAAGTTGGTCATAATACCTCCATGCGTTGTCCAGTCTCATCCTTGCCAGTGAAGGAGAGCCCAGCATCTTCAAAGCGTGCTACCATATCAGGATTCACCTGAACAGTGCAAGAATAATGTTAGGGTAACGTGTCGAGCTATCAAACCAAGAACCAAATCCAACGATGACGCTGGGATGCTCCTCCATACCTCATATCTATGTCTGTGCCTCTCATCAACATAACTTTTGTTACCATATCTGGAAATAGAAAGAAGAAAAGTTGGTTCAACTTTCACCGACAAAGGACTGCATTCATGAGGAAATATGTCTTCTTGAGATGATTATTGTAACTTACAACTTTGCAGATTTGCAGTCATTCACATGGAAATATGTCCTCCTTGACCCCAGTCGCATGGTGCCACCCATGTGGGTTTTTGAGCCCTAATAATAATGGAGGGAAAAGCGTATTAGAAAAAAAGAGGAACAGGCACGGAAATTGCTTTGCAGGAAGAGCTATAATAGGAGGCCAAACCTCAGGCATAAATATGACGCATGGATTCTTGGTGTGAGTGTCAAACTCTGTGCTGTTAGCGTCTTGCATATTGAGAACAGATCTTGCAAATTCAATGACAGCAATTTGCATGCCTAGGCAAATGCCAAGGTAAGGGATTCGATTCTCCCGAGCAAATTTAGCTGCAAGAATTTTCCCTTGCACACCTCTGTCGCCAAACCCTCCAGGAACAAGAATCCCATCGGCACACTGAAAGATGGAACAGGCAGCAAGATTGACCATTGGAACTCAAAACCGAGGAATATTAAACAAAAAAGCACTTGGTTCTACTAGGCCTGCTACCAACCTTGAGCAACTTCCATGCAGCTTTATAAGCATCAGGATTCTGAGAAGTTGGAAGAAGCCTTGTCAGTCATGTCAAATTGGCTGGAAGATGAAATCCCAGTGCATGGTTTTGGACAGTGATTTTTTTACTCACCTCTTGTGCTGTTTCATCTTCTAGATCTGTAGCTGGAACCCAATCAACAACAAGTTTCTTCTGGAGTGCAACAGATGCATGCAAGAGAGCCTGCCACCAACATAACATAAAGCAGATGAATAAATGCAATGCTTTATAAGTTAGAACATCAAAATAAAGGAACTACTTAAGAAATGAGTTCCACCTTTAGAACAGAAAGGTATGCATCTGAAAGACCTGTATACTTTCCAACCATAGCGATTCGGACCTACAATGACGTTTCAGAAGTGAGATCAGAAAACAGACAGTAAGAGAAGGCTGAGGTAAATGGAAGAACATATGCTTAAGCCGTACAGGTTCATGCAAAGCATCGCACAGTTCAGCCCTAGCTGTCCATTCCCTTAGGTCAGGCTCCTTGGCAACACTGTAATATACAATGACGTTAGGGAGCACAGACAAAGAAGAAACCATACACAAAAGCAAATATATGGGATGAAAAAAAGCTGACTCAAATACTAACCCGTGAAGGTTTAGAACTCTCAATATGGCTTCATGAGCTTTCTGATCCTGAACAAACAAGCAGATGGTACAACGATAAGTTAGAACAAGGACATTTAGAGGAGAAATTATATGAGAAAGTGCAGCAATAACACTTACCCTTAGCAATAGAGGAATGTGCCAAATGTTGGGAACATCGTACAGAGTAACTATACTTTCTGACTGCAACACGGAAGGGGGCATCACAATTTAGCAAAAGCAGAAATGCAAGACAAATTAAGTAAGAGTAATAGAAAAGGAAGATCAACCCACCGGAACATGGCAGAACTGAGCAAGTTTCTGTTTTACATTATCCTCGAGTGCCTGCATAAACAAATTACACAAATTATATTCAGAACAAATGCAGGTTACTGGGTGTAGGGGGTGACACCAAAGACAGATATGTACCGAAGTGCTGCGACAAGCTAAGATATCCGGAGTCAAACCAAGGCCTCTTAGACCCCGCACACTGTGCTGAGTTGGTTTTGTTTTCTGCAAAGGATTATAATTCATACTCAGTACGGTATCTAGATATTATCTTTGTATAGCTCAAGCATGAAGATTCCCTTTGAATGTGAGTTGCGTAATGGTAAACTCTTACCTGTTCACCAACAACATTCAGGACAGGAACAAGACTCACATGAACCAAGCAAAAGTTTCCCGCACCTGTAACATAAATACCTTATCAGAACAATACAACGATCACAAAGCAACATGTCTCACTTAAATTGCAATTGACGAAATAAGTGAGCCAATTGTTTACCAACTCGGTAGGAGAACTGGCCCAGCGCCTCGATAAATGGCATGGATTCTATGTCCCCTGTAGGCAAAGAAAATGTTAATAACTATAAGGAAAAGAACGGAAGTATCTTCCAAGGGTAAAGAACACTTCTCTTTGCGTTTACCTATAGTTCCTCCCAATTCAATGACGCAGACATCAGCGGGGCCTGACTTTCCATCTACAGGCACCTGGGCAACACGCTCTATCCAGTCTTGAATGGCATCAGTGACGTGAGGAACAACCTGTACAGTCTTTCCCAGATAGTCTCCTCTTCTTTCTTTATCGATGACAGCCTACATGACACGATAAGACGGGACGGGAGCACTCAGTATCAGGAGGTCGGCACTTCAAACAATCATCGGAAAGCTTAAAAAGTTTGAATTTTGAACACATAAAAAGAAGCATGAAGTTTAAACAGCTTGCCTGGTAAATCTTTCCATTAGTGATGTTATTGTCCCTCGTCAGCTTGATATCAAGGAACCTCTCGTAGTTTCCAAGGTCAAGGTCCACCTTTTAAACAAAAGAAAAGAGTCATTTCGGTTTCACCCTTAGATCAAATTTCACCCTTCCACCTCTAAAATTAAAGGTGGCCCAACTTGATAACAGGTAGTGCACAAGTTCAACCTCAATCAATTTACAGTATTTTAAACTAAAACTGAACCTGCACACTACAAGAAGTGGAAAGAATCTCAGAAAGATGGAGCAACTGCTACCACTAAAATGTCCAAGTTTAAAAAAACAAGACAAAATCATAAAGTGCTTAAGGACCGAGAAAGGGAATTCCTCGCTTCCATGGGAAACATCCCCAACCAATGGTTGGCAAAACTTGGAAAAGGCTAAAAAGGGCCTCCTTATTTACCTCACCCCCGTCATCAAGGACAAACACCTCGCCATGCTCAAAAGGCGACATTGTTCCAGCATCAGTATTCAGGTAAGGATCTGAAACAGGGACAGATAACGGAAAAAAAGGAAGAAGCTTTAATAATAATTAAATTAAAGTAGAGTAATCCACTACAGTGGCTCACCAAAAAAAGCCAAAGCAAACCCACCAGAATAAAAAGAGAAGAGGGTAAAACAACTCAACCATCCGTTTGATGAATGCTTCCAAAACAAACAAAGGGATACCAGAAACGATAAAAACCGCCAACCACTACCCATTAGTTACAATCCGTGTTATACCCACAAGGAAACAGTAAATTGGAATTTTGGGTCATTGATAAGAGTTTTCAAAGGGCACCTTAAGCATAGCAAAAAGGTGTAATTACTTGATTAAACTATTGTGATTACAGAAGGGAGAAGGCGAAGATAACCACGCACGCGCACTAATCCAATATTTTAATTTCCTTTTCTAAAACAAAGCAACAGAAGAGGGACAGATGAAATCAAGAAAGAAACAGAGTGGGGTTTGAAGGTCCTAGAGATAATAGGATAGGAATGAAAAAAATGAAGGGGAAAAACACAAAGTAAATGAGAGTATATTCTGCTCTTTCTGAGATCTAAAATGACATTAAAAGTAGAGCTCCAACCACAAGCAAGAAAGCATAGCAGCGTGATTTCAAAATCAAAACCACCCAAGTGCTAAAGCAGGAATAGATGACTGCCGGTAGTAGTTCGTTCTGCAGATATAGCTACACAGACCGAAGAAAAATCAACCTAACAACAAACAACTGCAAACGAGTGAGACAGACCGATTTTGATAGAAGTAACGCGAAGTCCACAGGCCTTCAGAATGACGCCGATACTGCTGGCGGTCACTCCTTTCCCGAGCCCGCTCACCACTCCTCCAGTCACAAGCACGTACTTCATCTTTCTGCTACTGAAGTTTTCTCACACCAAAGAAAACGATGAAACAAAGAACTTCTCCTCCTGGAGAAATTTTTAAAAAAAATCAAACAGCGCATCAGTATCAGAACAGTCATTGCCAAAACCGAGAAATAGAGATAAAGGAGGGAGGCGAGAAAGGAGAACCTTAGAAACTCCGTCAATGGCGGTTGTCAGCTGAAGCCACCGGAGGAGTTAGAAGAAGAAGAAGCTAGGGTGCAGGAATATGTGTAGAACGGGGTTCGGAAATGGTTGGGAGACTCGTTCGATTCGATTTGAGGAATCAGTGAGGGGAATCGCGAGGGGAATGAGGGAGTGAAGGATCGCAGGAGCGACGGAGAGAGAAGGAGAAGGAGGAGGAGGAGGCGGCGGCGGCGGGGGAGGGAAGGGGAGAAAAGAAACTGGTAAAGAGGGAGGGAGGGAAGTTTGGAAGAGGAAATGGGGAAGCTGATGGGCTTCAGCCTGTAGGCATTGGCGGCCTTTTATATCCGCAACTGCCCCACTTTGCTCAGCCCAGGCTGTGAGAGTACACACTACTAAACCCGAACCAAACAGTTTTTTTTTTTTTTTTCTTCGGCCACGTACAGTTTTTTTGACGGGAAAACAAAGGAAATAAGTCTTGGAATAAATAAATAAATATAATAATTAATAAAATGTATTTTCCTTGGTCAAATATTGTTCCTTCTTTTTCATTTTTATCTAAGGGGGAGAAATATGATTGGCAATTGAACACGTAAATCAATGGAAAGACTTTTTTTTACTGTTACGAATGAATGAATGAATTGGATAAAGCAATATTGCTATATACATAAGTAGTGATGGTAATTGGGCGGTAACTCAATACTTATGTCCCGCCTCATGCTACTACGGGTCAGGTAAACTTCCGTGGTACGGGGCAGGGCGAGGCAACTCATACTTAGGGATGTCAATCCAACCTGTAATCATGGGTATCCTACCTGACCGTAATCGGTCAATGAGGGTAAATACCCGCTTTGACGGGTTAAGGGGTCGGTACGGGTAATACCCGGTTTCAAAATAAAGGGTAGGGTACGGGTATGGTAATCGATAATACCCGCCCCGTTATACCCGCCCCGCTAACCAAAGGGTCAATTTCCCTTGAGAAATTTAGTTTAGCTTGAGAAATTGAGTTTAGCTACTATTATTGATGATGAAGATGCAGACGATAATTATGTTTGTGTGGATTGTAGAAGCAAGAACAATTATTATGTGTTTGCTGTTTTTATTTGTGTGGATTGTTGATGTTAGAACAGTTACAAGTATTGAAAATTTTTAATGGACAACAATATGTATGTGCATATATGTGTATAAGTTCATAGTTTAGGATTCGTACCCATGGTTACCTGAATACCCGTGGCTACCCGGTGGGTAGGGTATGGTTATATAATTTTCATACCCGGTGGTTATTTGGTCGGGTATTTTAGAAGGTTCTACCCGATGGGTTAGGAGTTGGTATAGGGTAAACCCGCACCCGAACCTACCCATTGCCATCCCTACTCACACGTATATGTTATTTAAAAAAAACACATGTAAATTTTACTTTTTTACGATAAACGAAGGAAAAATACTTTATGAATGAAAATAGTGATAATAGAATGTGTAAATAAGTCTAATTAATTAAAAGATCAACTCTAACTAGTTGAAGAAGAGTAAAAATAGAAGAAATATGTATAGATATTGTAAGATATCTCGGTAGAATGGGCCAAGAACGGGGCAGGGCGAGGCGAGGTAGATACCCATGCCCCGCCCACGCTACTGCGGGTTGGGTAATACCCGCCCCATCACGGATCAGGTCGGGTAATACTCGCGGAGCGGGTTCAAATTGCCATCACTATAGATAAGGTAAAATGTTTGACAACAATGATCCTTTTGGGAATATGTTATATTGCATAGTTTTGGAATCGAGGAACATTGTTCGAGTGTTAGTTTTAAACTGATACGGGTATATGTTGGGAGTTATAGAGAATGAGATTATAAAAGCCCATCTGGAGCAGGCGAACTTGAAGGAAAGCTCATTGATTAGCGTGAGGCTTGAGAATGACTCAGATTCAGCTAAATATAAGTACTCGTCATAGCTCAAGTGTAGCTAATGGAAGCATAATAGGCATCTTATTGAAGATTACGAGAGCTCTACAGAATCACCGATATTATAGCTCCTAATGGTATAATGGGAGCTCGTGCAAGCTCATTAGGACTGTAGAGTTTACCAAGTAATCTCAAACAATCTCAAACTAGGTCAAGGGAAACAATGGTAGCCGAAGAGGTCCATAAGTGCACTTTCAATATCTGAAGAGAACTTGAAATAACCAGGGTTTGTGATGCTAAACACTTGCTCACTCCATCTCGCCTAGTTACATCAAGTTCAATTCGACTTCTTTTTCTTATCCTCTATGCCAAGCCTCAACTTAGCGGAGTTCGCTTTACTTATTCTACTCATCTCGTTGCCTCTCTTCTTTGTTGTCTATGTGTGAATCACATGTAGTGTGCGTCAGCTTTTGGGTTGAGGCTCGAAATCATGTAGAGCTTGAGGGCCACAGAGGGAGAGAACTGAGATATAAGAGAAAGGTGAGAGTGAGATTAAAGAACATAGAGGGAGAGATCGAGAACATGGAGATGTTAGATTGGCGAGATCAATTCGTGGTCAATGATGCGTTTGTGTAGTTGAGTGGTCGTCATTAGAGTATAAGGCACAACTGAATGCAGAGAGAAAAAAGAAGAGAAAAGCTAAGAAAGAGAAGGAGAAAAAAGTATTTGCATAGAAAAAGCTTATTATATTTTGTTTTTTTAGAAAATGCTTATTCTAATATACACAAGAAATCAAATAGGGAAAATTACCAAAATAAGAAAACAAGATGGACACACGTACTATAACCTTAAAAAAAATGTTATTATGCAAGTAAGGAAGCAAAGGATATTCCAACTGAATTCAATTTGCTTGTGTCATCTAACAAAACTTTGTCCTTCCTTGGCCGAAAGCAAAAAGTTCATATTTTTATTGATAAGGATTAAAAGAACCAAAGACCAAAGACTAGAAGAAGAAATGGCGCAATATGAAAAGGCAAAAAATAGCGGGAGCGAGGTCAGCAAAAGTCTCCCCTAATTCCCTATTATAGATCGGGGATTAAGTGATAAAAAGAGAGGGGGGAAAAAAAGGGAAAAGAGAAGATTGAAAGCACAAGAGTAGTATTGGATAACCCTACTTACAGATTCCTGAGAAAAAAGAGTCCAAATCAAGGATCCTTTTATTACAAAGAAACCCCACATAAGAACAAACAACTTATCCTATCCACCATTGCTAAAACAAAGATTTGTGATAGTGTGCTGTACCCGTGACCGAATTATCAAAATTCATATTAATAGTTGATTTGGTATGCAATATAAATAATTTTTTTTTGTATTGGACGATATAACATGTTTAAATTATCGTATTTATTGATTTTTATCAGTATTATATCTATATATTACGGATTTAAAATATTATCTTAATAACAATATTGTTAACTCTCATTCACTTGTTTGTTCAATTCAATTTTAAGTACTATATCATAGAACATGCGGAAAACAAATCTAAATTATAAAAAAAAAGAAGCACATTTTAAGTACGATATTATAGTGCATGCAAAAAATAAATCAAAATTAGTAGGAAAAAAAGTTGTTTGCTTCCCATTTTCCAACTAAAGGTCAATGTTTTTGGGGTTAGGTTTAATTGGTAGAGTTAAATTCGAAATGCCGACGGAAGGAACTAGGAAGATCTGTTGGATGAATCGATGTTAATGAAAAGGTTAACCCGTCGTCGAGTCCACTTTGCTCTTCTGTTACCTATGGTTTAATGCCGCGTGCCAACCAGTCCTGGGATTTAGGAAAAAGTTTGCTTATAGGCTATAGCTTTGTTTTTCTATGAGTTAGTAAAATATTTTTTGGATAGGAATTTATGTCAGATTGATATTCGAGAATTTAATGTGAAATTCAAAATACTATGTGTTATAGCCACTTCTAGGACAAGCTAAAACACAATTCAAGAGGTTTGGCATTCCTCATCTCAGCCTTCTTGCACCAGCAAACAAATAATAATAAGGTCCATCAATCTCTTTATGGGTTTCGTGTATTTGTGATGAGAAAATATACATAATCTTTTAGTTTTGATATATTAGAGTCGATCACAATTTCTAAGTCATTTAAAGAAATATCGAGAACGACCAGTCCATTAAAATATAATGACGCTATCATTAGCACTAGAACACAAAACCACAAAAAAGATTTAAGAAAGATCTATTACAAAAATAGTTGACTAAAAATTGCTTATACCTTATAGTGTGTAGCTTCTCCAATCTAAAACAGGTTTGTGGCTTTGTGCCTCCATAAAATATGTATTGATTGATTTATCATGCATTTTCTTATAGAAAAAGAATCGGGTTTGTTTTATATTTAAAGAAAATCGATATAGTCATCGAGATAAAATTTCAAAGTATACTACATGATTTAGTTTGCTATAAAGTTGGAAAGATGGTTTGGATGGAGTAATTGCGAAACAAAAAAATTTGGTCAATTGTCTCATTTTATAAAAGAGTCGATTCTAACCATATGCATTATGCATTCACATTAGACAATTATAACTGCCTCAAAATTGTTCGATCCAAATTTTTGCTAATAAATGAACGAATTTGGCTCAACTATCTCAAACCGAAACAATTGGTTTAATTGATATGTTGAAATTCTTCGTCCAAACGACGACGCAAAAAGTAGCCGGAGCTAATGTGAATGAAAACTGAAAAGTAAAATGATATTTTTTACTCTCATTTTCTCCTTAAAGATAAGTGGGAATTGAAAACTAAACCCACGCTAAGGGTCAAAAAGCTCTTTTTATGTATGTGGTTGCACCAGCTAAAACTAGATGCACTTTAATTTTGTCTTATTTCATGGAATAACTTCTGAACCGACACGGTTAATGTCTTTAATTAATTCCCTTGAATAAATCCTTAAGACGGTCTCAACACAAATTTTGGATAATAGGCTTTGACTTTGAAGCAGCTGGATAATTAAGTTTTAAGTTTTTTTAAAGAGTAAAGACCATCTAAAATGAACGAGGTGAAAATTGCTACAAGCCTATGACATTGGATACCAGTTAAATGACCAACTGAATATTTTGTTTGTTTTTTGTTAACCGACAATCTAAACACATTTACTCGTCATCCATCTACAATCCAACCCGTAAGTGACGGGGATGAATGACAAGTAACAACATATCAACTACTTGATCAATGGACAAATTGAATTCTGCCCGAAAATCACCCGACTCATCGAGTAAGAACCCATAAACATGGGTAGATAATTTCATAATTTTATATTATCAACCCAAATAAAGCCAGATTGCAGAAAGGGGGAAGGGTGCCAAAAACAAAAAGAAAGTTGTAAATAATCAAGATTCGATGATTTAGTGGGG